AGAGAGAGAGAGAGAGAGAGAGAGAGAGAGAGAGAGAGAGAGAGAGAGAGAGAAAACGTCAGCATCTTGCATCCCATTTACAGATACATGTCTGATTCGACCGTGTCATAGCGGGTTTCCCTTTTCGTTCACACCAGGCAGCAGCTATCCAATCAATACCAGCCTTTAAAAGGCATCCTGTGTCAATTTTGTATCAGGCATGCCCATAAATGGCATGCTCCCATCCACCGCCAAGAAAAATGCTTGTTCCTCGACGCCGTGATATTGACTTATGAAGATATTATTAAGAGTGGACTTTTTCATGAAGTTTTTCACTGTACGACAGAGAACGAGATTTTCCCCGTGCACGTCCCAATTTTTCACTCGAGCTAATAACGTATTACGTAATCCGTAACTCGTTTATTTTTACAAAACGACGTGAGAAAATATTAATGGCCACAGTTTAAATACATTTTATTATTACTTCTATTATATTGTCATGTTTTTATGATGTGCAAAACATCATTAGTTTTATAATATGGCACTTGACATCGTAAAAAAGCTGCACAACTTTTTAATTGCCAATCCTCACTCGGCTGTTATAACGTTGATAATCGGACACATTTCTTACATCTTACGCAAGAGGTCAACCGATAACGACACCCGTTTTGAACGCAAGTTACGCGTATAATACGCATTTATGCGTAGACGTTTATGCATGATAACCGCATTGGCGTCTGTGACCAGAGTATAAAATTTCGTACTGCGTTGTAGCATAACATCATCGCTATACATTTTTAATCTCCATTTACAGCTCTATTTGTCATGATAATACAATATATCTTAATTTTTTGATCGAATAAAATGCATTCTACACACATTTATTTATTTCACTTTTTAAATAATTAATAATACATATTTTTTTTAATAATTAAATATATATATTAAAACGCATGTTTTTCGAATTTAACCCTCCATTGCTCTCGTGTTAGGCGAGCGCTAACATCGCATCTTGTTTCTTCAATTGCATAGATGTGACATAAAAGTTTACTCTAAAATTTTTTGACTTTTTATTTACAATTTTTTAAATTATATTTGTATGATTATTTTTCAAAATTTCGTTAATACAATTTTTAGATTAGACTAAAAGTAGAACGTATGATATATCTATGCGCAGCGCTCATTGTCAAGAGCAAATACTTAAAGTCGACGCGACTCGTGCTGTTGCTAAATGAAAGTTTCACTGCTTCAGATTGATGTACCGATCGATGTTTCATCCTCTTGTTCTTACAAGACAAGATTGTGTTTGGAGGCCACTATTTCCACCGTCTGTCACCTCTATATAGTCGACCGTTAACTTTCAGAATAGCCAACTTCCATTGACTGATTCTGAAAAGTTAATGGTCGGTTAGAGTTTGACAGATGTTAGAAATAGTGGCCCTTGATCTGAGAAAACTATGTGGCAACATTACACTAATACAGTGACAATTATACAAGCGCGGCGCAGGGCTAACACGAGGGCACTGACGTTAATTTGGTGAACGAGGGCAATGGAGAGTTAACGATTTTTCAATTATCAAAAAATCCACGACTAAAATGTTCACCGAAAAAAAATACCGTGAAATATTCAGTGTAAATGCACTTGCAGCTCAATCTTATTGTAACGCTATATAAATCTTATAAATGTAATTTACGAATTTATGCCCCTTGCATATAAGGCTTCGTAGCGCTTACTAGTAATATTGTCTACAATTATAATGAGCATCTTATTTTGTTGACATTTAAATTGGATAACTGATACGCGGAGAGAATATTCCACACGCTTAATAGCGATAAGCAATGTCGCCCGACGATAAGCTTCTAAAAAGCAAAACAGAGGAAGATGTCGGCGCCGGCGAAACTTCTAAGAAATGACAAGAAAATTATGTCATTAAAATGTCACGCAGATTACAACGCATGATCGTGCATTTTTATAAGATGGCTTAAATAAATATTCGTAAATTATTATACGCAAAAGCTATCGTGTATACTTTAACGTAATAATCGCAAGCTACCATCGAAAATGGAGTTCTCGTTTTCCGCGAATTTAATTCTTTCCCTTTATAATTTCAATGAGAAGAATTTACGTGCTAAGTTAATTTAAATTATTAAAATTTAAATTTAGGTTTTAACTTAAATTCTTGTTGCACTATCTCTTGCATAACGGAAGTATAATAATTTTCAAAGTAAAATCCAATATTGTTTTATTTTTATTAAGTTTTATTAAGAAAAAGTTGTACAGTTTTGCTTTATCATAAAACGATTATACGCTAAAATTGGCAAACGTTGAAGTTTCATATTGTACTTTTTCTACCTCGTATAAAGCATCAAATTTTTCCAACTGTGCTCCCTTTGGCGAGCTTCCTCCTTGCGGATTCTCATCGAAAGCATCGAACACATTTTCGACGAATATGACATCTTTGTAGCGACCGAGATTCGCGTAAATTCTTTTTCTATCTCGTATAAAGCATTAAATTTTTCTAACTGTGCTTCCTTTGGCGAGCTTCCTCCTTGCTGGTTCTCATCGGAAGCATCGGACATTTCGCGACGAATACAATGGCAGCTTTGTAGAGAGATTCGCGTAAATTCTTAAACTCATTCTCGACGAATGCAATAAACATGCTGAAACTCAAAGGGGACAAGTAATGGCCGTAACCGCATGCAACATTCGCGCGGGATGTGCAACGTAAATACGCCGCATAAAAGCCAAACAAAAAGCTGTAAAATCCACCTGTTTAGTGTCCGCTACAAGCATATCTCTCGTGGAAATTAACAGAAATACCCTAGTACTTTTTTAACGGTCGTAGGATATACAAGTTTCGCTTTCTTAGTCGACTTCTCACTTTCAAAAGACTGTTCAAGTTGACAAAGTTAAATTAACATTTATTTTGCTTATCTATTTTTATATACGTTTTACCGCACTCATTTATCTTCCAGGATAATTTATATTCTTTAATATCTTGAGTTATTACCTCAAGCATAACTAGTTACGTTTAATATTTGTCCTGTTTATAATATTTCAAAAGAAATACAAATTCAAAACTAACATCAAGAAATTAGAAATACAAAACTAACTGTAAGTAACAATAAATGTGCGCAATTTTTGCCGCATAACTAGTTACGTTTAATTTGTTTTATTCATATAATATGTCAAAAGAAATACAAATCCAAAACTAAGAGCAAAAAATTAGAAACACAAAACTGTAAGAAACAATAAACGTGGGCAATTTTTGGCGTAAAGTTAAAGCGTATATTTCTTTGATGTGGAACATGTTTACGTTGGATGTTACGAGATGAGAAATATACGCCGGGTGCGTGTGGGTAAACGATGAAGAGAAAATGTCTTGACGCATCGTTAATTAGGGAACGTGTCCAGATGCGGTCGCACCGCCGCGCCGCGCCGCCGCCCTTTAACCAGCTCGAATTGAGTGCGGTGGTCGTCGGCAGCGAATGCACTTACTTACGCGCTTCTGCATACGCACGCACTTGCGTACGTGTTTTGCGTACGCACTTTCCAGGATGCCGACACCCGACCGCGAATGCGGTCGCGCTCCTCGAATTGCAACGGCGTCGTCGCGGCGACGACGCAACTCGGATGGCCTTCCTCCGAATCAAGGATACGACGCAATCATATATCTGCAATTGCAACGATGTTGCTCGTTAAGAGATGTACTTGAATGCGGCGATGGCCGAATTAATTAACAATCGAGTGCAAAGATAATAGAGATCGATTGCAAAAGGCACTCGGCGAGTAGTCTAATATTTTTAGTTCAGAACTGCGTAAACAGCGCGCGAAATTCTATTGTCATGTTATTGCTGTAAAATAAATTGTAAATCAATGATAAATCATCTTATTACGCCGAAATTTTGTTGAACTTTTGGAAATGTATAAGCTTAAATTAATTAATTACAAAGTATGATAAATCGGATTATTTAATAGATAATTGAAAACGTTTGAATTACTTTATACTTTAACATTTAACAGAAAATAATTATTAATTAGCACTAGCATAATTTTAAGTATGACATGTTGATAGATCAGTAGTAGAGATGAATAAAGCGATAAAAAATCAATATTATTTATTAACAATTGACTCTAACAGATTTAGATTCGATCGTTTAAGATATCGTTAAGATTTTATTTGGTAAAAATAAAGCATTTATTACATCCACTTGTAAAAACGTTCTGTACGTATACTAATTAGCGTTTTAATTTCACCCATTTTCTTACAAGCGTGCGTGAATTTTTATATCCCAAGAATGTGCATACAGCATAATCGTTAGAAATTATAAGAAATTGAATTATTATTGAATTATTATTTTCTATTTCTTCTGTTTAGGGCGATGATGGTATACAAGGATTTGTGGGAGTCGCAGGACTTTCCGTATGTATATTAACTATTTTATCGCCTTCCAAAGTAAATGAAATAAAGTTTCTCCTTTATTTTCTCTTTATTTCTTTTCAATAATCATATATCATATAATGTGTGTACATTAGATTTTTATATTATATTATATATTATCTCACACACAAGAGATAAATTTTAAACAACGTAAAATAAAATAATCCAACTATTTATTTAAAATATGCAATTTTCCTGATCTAATCCAATAATTTAGAATAATATGGACGCAGTTCTGCAATGCGGAACCGACTCCAAAACCTTATACTTTCCCGCTGGAGTAAATTTCGCGAAACATTAGAAATAAAATTCTGCGCCAACGTTATCTCAAATATAACGACCGCGAGCTATAATCCTCCTTAAATGCAATTCCACGTGTTTTATATGCATGTTTAGAAAGCCTCCCGTCCACGTAAAGTATTAGGACAAAATAGGAGCGCTTGGCGCTCCTAATGGCTCGCTGGTTCCTTATTGCACAACCGCATCCATATGTAAATGAAATTTAAATTTAAAAATTCTCCTTACCGTATCTTCTGGCTTCTTTCCGTATTATGAAAAGGAAAAGAATGAAATCGTAAGCTCCTTGCATTTCTGAGCTGAATTCAGTCCAACGTGTTTCACTCTCATTATGCCTCTGTGTGCAAAAGAATTATTCAGAGGGACTGTAGCGAGCGTTCCTTAGGGCAATCCCGGCATACCCGGTGTGATGGGTCCAGACGGACTGGACGGATGCAACGGAACCGACGGTCGTGCTGGTGCACCCGGTATACCCGGAACTTACGGCCCACGTGGTCCACCAGGACCCTTAGGCGATTATGGTTTTACGGGAGAGCCTGGTGATGGAGGTATAAATTCGGTCGGTGTCAAAGGAGAACGCGGGCAGCCCGGTATCGACGGACTGGAGGTAAAAGCATCACCATTTCAACGTGAAGTATACACATGTTATTCAATAACGTTTAAAATCACCCTGATGTTACACCGCCAAGAAATTTCAATATCTGAACATCGATATTATTCATTCCCACATGTGACAGTTTGCCGAGGAAAATTCACTGTTTGTGGTGCCTGTTAAAAATTAAATTAAATTAAATTAACAGTTATATCGTCACATGTTATTACACATTTACGTGCGACGTGCGTCGCAATTATTTTTTGTTATTGTCGGCCGTAATTGAATCTTGAATTGTTAGCGCGTACTCTATTTATTTAAATTCATAAATTTCTGTGTACATATTTGATTTGTAAATTAAAATATACCATTAAAGTAGATCGTTAACGTTCAATCTACATTTATGATAAAAAATTCATCATATAATTGAAACTGAAATTGATCTCTTTACGTCATGTATATGATACTAGAAGGCAAAATGTGCGGTATAAATATGCTGCTTCTCCTTAATACCATCGCGGATTAATCCCGTTGTTAAATCCACTCGTATCATGGTTGTACTAAGACGTGATCGCGTTTCCAGGGTTATCGAGGACCGCAGGGACTCACCGGCGAGATGGGTTATCCAGGAGACACGGGCGACTTTGTAAGTAATAACAGAAGCACGCTTGTATATCCCACGGTTGTTTAAGATACCGTAACACCGGTCGATCGGTGCCGACTCTCGAGGGCCGGTGAACCCTCGCGCGAGCGTTTAGGTAGGTCTCCGAAGAACGGATACGGAGGAGGAAGAGAAGAAGGAGGAGGAGGAAGGAGACGAGCTCGAGAGTCCGATTCTCGGGACGGCTTTCGTTCTTTTTTGCGAAACGCCACCTGCTCGCATGAAATATTGTTTGCCGGTCCAAAAGTATTCCCCGGCAATATTCAACGGGGTGCCGGGTAAAGAGGAGGAAAAGGAGCGGAAAGAATCCGTAAGAATTCCGCGCGCGCCTCGCGATATCGCGCGATAAGCACCTCCGAGGAATCCTCTTACGCCGCCGAGTTAAAAAGTCACCTCTGAACGCGAACGCGAATGCACGTTGAGGCCTTGGGTGAAAATGCGCGATACCGAAATAAATGCTCACACTCTGAAAGAGAAGTACGTAATTCTTGTGTTTCGACCATACAACAGAGTGGACAATTGTTTCTAGGAGAGTATTAGCTAGAAGAAAAGAGAATTGAATAATAAGAGTAGAAAATTGCGCATTTATTTGTCAATCGTAATTTAATTATCTTGTCGCTAATAAGCTTCTTTATCTTGTTTTATTTTATTTTAGAAATCTAGAAATAATTACTGAGATACTAGAATAAATTTAAAAGTTTTAAATAAATGTACGTTATATTAAAAGGCTGCAAATGTCCATTGAAGATTAGTGTAAAGAAGTAAACTTAAATTAAGAAGAAAATTAATTAAATTAAAAATACGGAAACATATTCGTTCAAAAAAAAGAAAAAGAGGAAATGGCGAGTTTGCAATCTAGGGAGAATATAAGTCGCCGTTTCTTTCCTAAACTACAACCGCGCGCGATACGGCACGATATGGTAATGCAACGTATGTCGCAAAGTATTTCAGTTCGGTATAAACTAGACGATGGAACTTTACGAGATTCTTAAAGCGCATAGAGTAGACGCGCGATGGCCGCCCGAAAGTTATCTGCGCCACTTGTATCCGCAGTATTCCGAGTTACGCCCGTAAGGTTGAATTACGTGCGCGATGTTACACGTATTCCCCCGAGGGGCACGAAGAAACCCTTTTTTTGCTGGAAGCGAAGGTTTAACGTTTCCCTGCACAAGTGTACTCACTAGCGATACAGCCGCTACTTATCAGCTACTTTCGCGCAGGAAGCGAAGCTTTTCTTCTCGCTTGCAATTTACTTGACGCAACTAATTAGCGAACGGAGCGATAAACTCCTCTCGCGGGAGATTCATGGCTTCGCTAACGAAGGATCGCGAAAGTAAGAGATTCCTCGATGTGTGACAAATTGCTCGAGTTTTAGGAAAAGTGCCTATCGTCGTTGATTAATTCATATCGATTCTTTCATTTTAGAAAAAATTATTTTACGTATAACGTGTGTCAATTTCATTGTATATATCGTTTTTGCATCAAAAGTTTATCTTTCTTCTTTAATATCTTTTATCGAGGCGCGCAGTGCAAAAAAGAAATATATCCTTTTTTTGCACTGCGCGCAAAACTTCTGCATATATCCATCTTTTTGTTTTAGAGAAAATTATTTAAATTGATTTAATATATGATGTGTCAATTTCGTGTATGTGTCGTTTTTGCATTAAAAATTTATCTTTCTTCGGCGTTCAGTTTGCAAAGAAGCTATCTCTTCGTTACGATTTTGCAGAGGTAATCTTAATCGCCCCGGCTCGAGGGCGGTACTAACGCGGACGCGCGAAAAGAATGAAGGAAAGAAAGTATTGAAATGCACTAGGACTTCGTACTTAATCGCTAAATACGAAACGTTGAAATCCGAGGCGTCGCGTCCGTCGTCAGCTGCTATCTGCTGACACGACTGTCGCTGATAGCGCGAGAGCCGTCTCTTCGCACGAGATGACGAAGGGAAGATTTTAGCCCGGCGACCAACGGCTTCTGAGAAACCCGACGAGCCCGGGCTCTCTCTTTCTCTCTCTTCTTGACCCTCGTCGCTAAAAGTCGGCTACGTCGCTCGCGCCATTAAGGAAGACACAATTGACTACCGAAAACCGGTTTCCTCATTGACAATGCGTTAATCGTGCGCGCTGCACAATTGCATGGGTAATTTTTTAATGGCGATGGCACGAACCTCGAGTCGGCACCTTTTCTCGTGTATAAACGGCGGGCGAATCGACAGTTAATTCGACAAATTGCGCTAACGAATTTCTACCCTTTCTCGAAAACAAAAATCGAACCTGTCTCGCGATAATTTTGATATGTCGATATAATTCCCTATTTTTTATTTAATAAGAATTTATCGCGGGATAAAACAAATTTTCCAGAGTTGTATTCTGTCTAATTACATAAGTAAACTTCATTATATAATCGTGCATATTAGTTAAAATGCTCCGAATATAATTATAAAATCAAAATGAATTTTATATCGCAGAATAAAATCTAAATTAGTAATTATATAAGTAATTATATAAGTAAAGCAATTTATAACGATAGAAATTCCTGTGTAATAATCGAAAGGAAATGAACTAATTATAAACTAATTTTTATCATGGGACAACATTTCATCTTTCTGTCTATTCTTTCTTTCTTTTTTTCTTTCTTCTTTCTTGTCGCGTACAATAATAATAGTTAGAAATTCCCAGATCCAATCAACCTTTACGTTAATAAAAGCGAAATGTGATGCTTTGCCTCGATCGAAATAATCTCGCAAAGCCCGCGTCTAGTAGCTCCATTTCGCTCGGAGTAAAAATAAACAGGGATGGACCGGGACGTGCACTTAAATTAGCATTATAATGGACTCATAATACATGCACTTACGCTCTGCCACGCTAGATGTAACTTCAGCGTAATGCGTACGGCAACATATAGGCAGAACTACATCAAGGTATACCGGGTGTCTCGAGGGTATCGTGCATGATCGCTCGATTACAAGTCTTTTGACGAGTTTAGGCTTGATTAGCTAAACGAGAAACTGGTAGCTTCAAACATCTCGGTGTACGGTAACTAATCCGAGAGGGAGAGAAGACTTGATACATTTAAACATATATGTTTATTTGAACTATTCTTTAACAATATAAAGACATTGGAATATACTTCGACATATTCCATTAAAGTTAAAAAATAACAATGTTAAAATATAGCTTTCATAAAGTAACACTATGAATTTATTTATTAAAGACAAATTCGTAAGATAAACACGAATTACATTAATGAAACACATTAATGAAGCGAATTAACAAATTACATCAATTAAGCGGTGAAACGAAAAAAAGATATCTGTATTCTCCTAGGGTTTGCCAGGTTCTCCTGGCTTGCCAGGTATGCAAGGTGAGCGCGGCGACACCGTGTTCGGTGTGAAGGGTCAACTTGGCGAGCAGGGAGACAGGGGAGAGCCTGGAGCACCGGGTAAGGACGAATATAAGAAGCCGGAAAACTCGACGGCCACCAAAGGACCGCAGGGACCAAAAGGCATGAAGGGCACCTATGGTGATCGAGGTCGCAAGGGAGAGCTGGGCGCTAGGGGTCCGCAAGTAATTATGCTATACCAATAAATGCCAGCATAAATAACATTCGAAATAATATAAATTCTATAAAAGATTACGTTACAAAAAAATATATTATTGATTAGAAATCAAAAGTTATGCTTGTGACGTAAATTATATAATAGAAATATTTTAGTTAAATATATTGTAGCATTTAAATAGAACACAATTCTTACTTAGGGTCGTCCAGGTTTCTTGGGTATCAAAGGTGTGAAAGGTGAACAAGGTGACGATGGGCCGAGAGGTAAACAAGGTGTCGACGGCCCACCGGGCCCAGCTGGTGAGAAGGGAGAGAAAGGAGCTCCAGGATTCGCTGGATTGCCTGGTCGGGATGGAGATGATGTAAGTAAAATGATAGGCACACATCCCCATGGCTGCTTTGAATAATTTCTGATAGATGAAATCTTTTTGTTAATTTGTGCGTTAAATATTTTGGCAATTGCCACATTTTATGCGCCACGACTTTTTATTCTTAATTGTTTATCATTTAAAATTATCAACGGTCATTTTAATATTTTTGGTGAATGGAGTCAAATTATTAATGAATCGATTAATATTTATAAAGTGTGTGGCAGTATTAGACGTATCGCGTTATTTAATGTTTCCATAAAGGGAGAGCCAGGAGAAGAGGGAAATCGCGGTCCACCTGGTAGACAGGGAGCTGAGGGAGAACCTGGACGATACATTCCAGAACTTGATGAGATAATTGCCGGAAATATCGGGATCCAAGGAGATCTTGGTCAGTATAAATTCAATATATAGATATTATTCTCTCTTTCACGAAAATATTTGAATATTTATTTATTATCCATGTCAGTACATATTAATTGGTAATTACTATTATATCTTTAACAAATAAAAAATTAATATTGATATTACATGCACATAATATTAAAAAAATAAACCACTGGAAGTTACTTATGCTTAGAAAAAAACATTTAAATTTTTTTTTACAGGCCCACCTGGTGAACCAGGCGAATCGGGAATACCGGGTCTGCAAGGAAAAGTCGGATTTATAGGACCGCCAGGACCACCAGGGCCTCCGGGTACTCCTGGTCTGGCGGGAGCGAAGGGCTCATCCATAAAAGGAGAACAAGGAGATGATGGTACATTTATATATATTGCTTTCTATATCGATAATAATTAATCATCTTATACGGAATGTCATAAATAATAATTAACGATTTATGAATTATTTCAGGCTTACCAGGACCTATGGGACCTCAAGGATCTTCCGGATTACCCGGTTTACCCGGAATTCTGGGGGCCAAAGGATTCCCGGGGGTAACAATAACTGGACCGTCGGGACCAGACGGTCAACCAGGTTTTCCAGGATTGTTGGGCCCACCTGGCGATCGCGGTGATCCTGGTCCTCCAGGTAAAATAAAAATTGATTTTAATCGAAAAAGTATTAAAATTCTACAGTCATCAAATAAATTTATATTTTATACTCTAATTGTAAGAACTCTATTCAAAATTTATGAGAATGAATAGAATATGCGAAATGAACTTTATTTATTTATTTTATTGTGAAGTCTATTTATTATTCTAATGTTATAATTTTATCGTAAATATTTTATAGTAAATGTTTTTGTTAATAACAGATAATTATAATTGCTAAACAGGAGAGAAAGGTTTTCCTGGAAAAGGAATAAGAATTCGTGGGCCAGACGGAGAACGGGGTCTACCCGGAATACCTGGTATTCCTGGTCCCGACGGCTGGCCTGGCTTTGCTGGCTCTAAAGGTACCAAGGGTATTCGAGGAGACGATTGCGGCGTATGTGCCCCAGGTAAAAATTAATTACAATTTATAATAAAGAATACTCTTAGAAAGAGACATTTGAACAGTGAATTAAGGTATCCCCGTTTTGTTTTAATCATTGCACAGGTCTGCCCGGGGACAAAGGAGAACGCGGTGAGTCTGGTTTAGACGGATATCCTGGAGCTTCGGGATTCCCTGGTCTACCCGGTCCACGAGGATTCAAGGGAATACAAGGAAAGCGAGGTCCGCAAGGGCCGGCGGGGCTTGAAGGTGATAACGGAAGACCCGGTATTGCGGGAGTTGAAGGACCCAAAGGAGAACAGGGAAGAGTATTTTTCCCGCCTGGCGACAAAGTCGTGAGTCCGCCGGGCGATATCGGTGAGAAAGGCATGCCTGGGCCTGAGGGAATCAGAGGTATACGAGGACAACCGGGGCCCATTGGTGACACAGGCGTACCGGGACCAAAAGGAGACAAGGTACTTTTTTTTTACTTTTACAGACATAATTATTTTTACACAATAAAATTTATTAAACATTTTATAGAATATAATAATTTAGTTGATTATAAGATTTTTTAATCCCACATTTATAACTGCTTAATTATTATTTTTAAAAATTTGATTTTTATTCCTTCTATTAATCTGAATATTTTTCAATCTTTAGGGTGAACATGGTCTTCCGGGATTGTCGGGAAGAGACGGCTCGCCAGGATGGGATGGCATTCCTGGCGAGAAAGGTGAGGACGCCTCGATACCAATTGAGTTCTTGCGCGGAGATCCAGGATATCCGGGACAACCGGGAATCAAAGGAATTCAAGGAGATAAGGGTAACAAAGGAGAACCTGGTACATCCGCGGAATACATCACAGATGTACAGGGTGACAAGGGTTACAAAGGTGTCAGAGGAGAGCCCGGTACGTTAAGTTAAAAATTTCTTAAATATATGTATGTTAAATAAAAATCTGTAAAAAAAATTATCTCTTTAAAATGTAATATTAATAAAAATTTTAGAATATAAATATTAATAAAATCTTTTAATAAAAAGGTCGAATAAATATGAGATAATCAGATAACATTATATGAATTCTTTAGTTGGCTATTGATTGTCTAAAACAGTTTTTCTTTTGAAAAATATATAAATTATAATATAATTATACATATTATATATATATATATATATATATATATATATATATATATATAATTTATATTTATTTTATCATATATAATTATATATATAACACTCTTATATATAAATATATTATAATTTGCAGAAACATAAAATTTGGTATTTTGACTGCAAAGAAATTTAAAAATGAGACTAACTAATTTCGATATTCTCGTAGGTGAATTTGGTTTCAAAGGTTTCCAAGGACGTCCTGGCGACGAAGGTCTACCAGGATTGCCTGGTGAACCTGGTTCTCCAGGACTTTCGCTTCAAGGTGCTATCGGTTTGAAAGGATATCCTGGCATGCCAGGAGACCAGGGACCTCGAGGCACACCAGGCTCACCTGGATCACAGGGGCCAGTAGGTTTCCCGGTAAGTAAACTGCATGAATGCGAATAATTTTTATTTTGACAGTTTAATTAAATAAAAATTGATTTTAATTATTATATTAGTCATTAAATTCTTATTCACATATTACAGGGTCGCGTCGGCAACAAAGGCGAACGAGGAGATCCGGGCTCAAACTTAACATATGGCGAAATTGGAGAACGCGGATGGTACGGCCCAAAGGGTGATATCGGTGATCCTGGTCCACAAGGATTGCCCGGCCGACCGGGAGAGGACGGTTTGAAAGGCGTCAAAGGAGCTAAAGGAGCGTTCGGTTACGAAGGATTGCCTGGACTTCAAGTGAGTATAATTTTATTCATGGATTTCTATGAAAATCGCTTTGAGTTAGTTAACGTCTGTGAAAAAAATGCTTATTTTTAATAAAAATATCTACGAATGATTTATATTAAAGCAATAAATTTGGCGGATTTAGGGAGCCAAAGGTCAACGTGGAGACAGTATACAAGGTGATCGCGGATTTCCGGGAATACCTGGCCAGCCTGGAATGCCCGGAAGAATCGGAGACGTCGGGAGCCGCGGTAAGTATATACCGAAAACTAATAACGTTTACATTTTAAAACGAGTCATTCTATGGAGATGAATTAGATTAAATGAAATTAAATTAATTGGATCGGAAATTAAATCTACTTTCATTCTTTTAATCCGATTCATCGCTCTAGACATTTATTATTCTGTTTACATAATGATTCGGCCGTTTCGGATAAGCTGTTCTTCGCGCCGTAGCATCAATCTTTAATCTCTGTTTTAGAAATGAGAAAAAAGATTAATGGCAAATATGTTTTAAGGCCCTGACGGTCCTTCCGGCTTTGACGGAATGAAGGGCTTGAAAGGAGAAATCGGTTTTATCGGACGACGTGGTGACGACGGCGACGCGGGACCTCAAGGATACCAAGGGATGCACGGTAGGCAAGGACTACCGGGTGCTCCAGGAGAAAAGGGAGACGTCGGCGAGAGTGGCGATCCGGGGCCACGCGGTTGGCCCGGTTTCGACGGTATAGACGGAATATCCGGTCCTAAAGGAGAGATCGGAGACGCGGGAGCCCCCGGTTTCCCGGGAGTGACAGGGCCACCTGGATTCAAAGGTATCACCGGTGATGCCGGTCTCGAAGGATTAGCGGGGATCCCTGGCGAAAACTCCTTCAGCGGTCCTCAAGGTGACGTGGGTGAACCTGGTTTTATGGGAGAGCTCGGACCACCCGGTCTAGCTGGATTCGACGGACGGCCCGGTTTACCGGGAGAACCGGGATTGTCCACTGACGGTTTCAATGGCCTGCCAGGGCAGAAAGGTGAACCCGGATTGGACGGATACCCTGGTGTCGGAGGATCAAAAGTAAGTGCATCTTATTTTTATCAAGAAATTGCTTTCAGAATAAAATACTTATTTTTCAGATGTATAAAAGATAATGTATTATATGATACTTTAATTTTCTTATTTATTTAATAGGGGGAAATTGGTGACATGGGTCCTGATGGATTAAAAGGCGAACGAGGTGAACAAGGTTTCCCGGGGAGATCAGGTGCGCCCGGAATACCCGGTAGATACGGTGCGAAAGGTGAAAGAGGCCCAATTGGACCACCCGGATTTGACGGTTTGAAAGGAAAGCCCGGCCTCGACGGTGATCCGGGCATAATGGGCAGACCAGGTAAATATGATAATCAGTATTCATTCGTCTTTATTTAATTTAATTGCACATCTTGATACCTTTGTATTTTATGTGTAATCGATGTTTAATTTATTTCATCGATTTATATCTTTTAATATTTAATAAAATTATACATTGCAGACTTTTGTAGTTTATAATGAAAGGAAATAAAACTTTGCATCAATAATTTCGTTAACAAATTACAAATAATTGCAATACATTTTGCGTCAGGAATGCCGGGTGAGCCAGGTGTGAGGGGAACCCCGGGTATTATGGGTGCTCCCGGACCAAAGGGCTACGTAGGCGAACCTGGTTTACCATCTTACGCGTTCGCGATGAAGGGTGATTCCGGTAATCGTGGCCATGATGGTTTTGCCGGTATGAAAGGACAATTAGGTGAACCAGGATATAACGGCGTGGGCGGTCGTAAGGTAAATGAATGACATCTAATTTGGATATTTCAATTCTTGAACTTCGGATGAAATTATTTATTCGTCGCATTACAGGGTCAAATAGGAGACAAAGGATATCCGGGTCCGGTCGGTTTCCAAGGATTACCCGGTTTCCCTGGTCTGCCGGGTGATCAAGGACCTCGCGGAGCTCCAGGTATATATAAAAATATACAATAATATATATAAGATATGTTTAATTGCAAACTCTTGCAGTGTGGTATGAACTTATTGAAATTGCGTGTGCACACACAACATAGTTCCTTATTTTTCTTTAATATTTACAATTTTTAATCTTTACATTTGACACGTTAGAAATTATCATACCACTCTTTCATAAAGTTTTATTAGAATTAATAGTCGGAATATACGATAAATCTTTTTAATAATAGTTCGTAATTTAAGAAATTGTCATATGTTTTATTAATGTTATGATATAAATTTTATCAATAAAAATCTAAAAATATCTTCTTTCTGTTTTAATCTAAATATCTGAAGACTTGACATTTTATCTCAGTTAATATTAAATTCTTATTTGTTTGGAATAGGATTACCTGGTGAATTCGCTGAACCTGGTGAGCCTGGTCGCGCTGGTCTCGATGGTAGGCCTGGTATTCCAGGACGTCCAGGACAAAAGGGAGCTCCTGGTGAATATGGCCCGAACGGACCTAAAGGAATCTCTGGCGATATAGGCCACAGCCTTCGCGGTCATAAAGGAATAGTTGGAGAACCAGGTAACAACCGTTATTATATTTAATCAAATTCTTTTTAATATTAATTAAATGATAATAGGACAAAATAAAACAATTAACATTAATATTTATTATTGCACGTTTTGATCAGGTCTGCGAGGATTCGTCGGCCAACCGGGTATGCCAGGTTTGGAAGGATTGCAAGGCTTTCCCGGAGCACCTGGGCCGAAAGGTTACCGCGGAGAACCAGGAATATCTGCGGGCAGTAGGAAAGGACAACCCGGCGAACCTGGATTGCCCGGATTTGATGGTCGAGTTGGACCGAAGGGACTGAAAGGTGACTCTGGTCTGGCTGGCTTTGACGGATTGCCAGGACCGAAAGGAGAAAGGGGAGATACGGGTGAACCTGGTCTACGTGGGCTGCCTGGTCCTGAAGGACCACAGGTGAAATTCTCGAATTATAATTCTTGGCAATTACGGTATCGGCAATTTAAGTATTACATCCGTTGATTTATTTGCTTCTTCTTACGCTTTTATTTTTAATATTAAAAATCTCCTTACAGATTTTTTTTAAATTTTATTATAATAAAACAACGGAGTTTACATTATCGAAACATAAAATTAAGGAACAAGGATAAAGCGAATATACTTAAATATACTTTGCTCGTGATAGGGACCGAAAGGAGACCCTGGCATGAATCCTTTCCCGCCATTCCCGAGACGAGGACTCCCCGGTGATACAGGAGTACCCGGATTACCAGGTGTTATATTTCATTTTATACAAATAAAACCAAAGCTGTATACACACACAAACACACACACACATAAACATATATATTTTATTGAATGGAAATATAATACCGCATGAATACGCAGGTTTCCCTGGACTGCAGGGAATGATGGGTGAGCCTGGCAAGGACGGCTTACCGGGACGACAGGGTGAAACAGGTATGATTGGAATTTCTGGACCGCAAGGACCGGATGGTAAAGATGGACCTCCCGGATATCAAGGGCCTCCCGGAACAACCGGACGACAAGGACAACCAGGTATAACCATACGTATTTCACATTAAATGTCAACACGATAATTTTCATTCTCAAATTGAAACGATACGTTGTTACGACGTATTTACATCAATTATTTTGACCATGCATTAAATTGGAAAACAATTTCTCTCGTAGGTTTCCGTGGCGCTCCTGGAATACCTGCGGCAAATGGAATTGGTCCGAGAGACAGAGGATTCTATTTTGCTCGTCACTCGCAAACCGAGATGATACCGACCTGTCCAAGGAATACCGTGAAAATCTGGGAAGGATTTTCGCTGTTACACACGATGGGTAATGGACGACCCTACGCACAGGATCTTGGTAAACAATATTAACATATTTTTTATATAGATGATGTATTGAAAAATTCAATAAGTTGCTAACACCTTATTGATATTTAAAATAAAAATAATATAACATCTTTTATATAAATACTGTTATTTATAAAATACAACAAAATTTTAATGTAAATATTAATGGAAAGAATCTTAATGCAAAATAAGCAATTCAAAGCAATTGTTAAAACTTTATATTACAAAGATATGCACATAATTTGAATAATATCTCTAACAAAAGTGTAATGCAATTTATAATAGACTATATTGCAAATAAATGACAATTTACAGGCGCTGCTGGCAGTTGCATTAAGAAGTTCTCCACTATGCCCTTCCTGTTCTGCAATCTGAACAACGTGTGCGATTATGCCAATCGTAACGACTACAGTTACTGGCTCAGCACAACCGAGCCTATGCCGATGATGATGACACCAATACCAGCTCCGGAAGTTGGTAGATACATATCGAGATGTTCCGTGTGCGAAGCGCCGACTAGGGTAATAGCTGTTCACAGTCAATCCATGGCAATACCCGAGTGTCCGGGTGGCTGGGAGGAAATCTGGGTTGGATACAGTTTCCTCATGGTAAGATCGATTCTTAAACATTATACTGATCTCGATACAGATTCAATTACATTTCAATAAAAAATGAAATAATTTGAGCCAATATTAAAGATCATTTCAATGTGTATTAGCTAATTCATGCATTTTTAAAAACAGATTTTATCAGGAAAAATTTTTAATGCGATTTATTATATTTTTTAAAATTGCAAAAAATACACATTCTTATTTAGTTTCGTTATTAAAATTAATTGGTTTTCTTTAGATTATTAGAAACAACCTCCTTATTTAGATATTTTACTTATTAACAATAACTATGCAAGTTTTACAACAAACAAATATCAAATTGCTGCTTACCAAAATTATATAATTTTAATTATTGTCAGCTGTAAGTATAACTGGTATAACATATTTAATTACGCCTTACAAAATTACAGCATAGAGATGCAGGCGCGGACGGTGGCGGCCAGTCTCTAGTCTCGCCCGGTTCCTGCTTGGAGGAGTTCCGCGTTAGGCCGTTTATCGAGTGCCGCGGCCTCGGCTCTTGCAACTACTTCGCCACGGCGACATCGTACTGGCTGGCGACCATTCACGACGAAGACATGTTCCGCAAGCCGCTGCAGCAAACGCTCAAAGCCGATCATACGTCCCGAGTGAGTCGATGCGCCGTATGCCTCCGTCGACGGGTCACCGAGGTCCTGAAACCCTTCACGTCCAACAACGAGCGAGCCCCCAATAATTGGGGCGTTGCTCCGCCGGCACCGCCACCGCCACCCCGTAATCTACCCGACTACGAGTCCTCCAGGGTACCGCCCAGCCGGGGAAGATATCCCAACAGAGAGAGGCAACGCGTACCCTATCAGTACCGCAGGAGAGGCCGCGTGCGCGGCAAACAGTGGGAACGATCGACAGAGTCTCCCAACAATTTGTAGGCGCAACAAAAATCGCGCACACATCCAGAACAAACGGCATCAGTGACGTGCAAGGGCGCAGAAAGCCTATGTATATAAAGAAACAAGAAAAACTCTTTTTTTCCATTAGTTAAGTTATATCGGCCGGGCGCCCTTTAGTTCGTAGACCCTCTAAGTCGGATAGAAACGCGGATGAACGCTCATGAACCGCACGGAAAGGGGCTCGAGATAACACGCTGACAACACATAGGTCTGGAGAATGTCGTAAAGGGACGTTCTTCAAATATCTTCCGGTCTATTATGCTCTGTTTGAAAAAGAAATCGTATATATAAACGTCTCCCTTTTAAGTCGCGCACCATTGAAGTATTGGATAAACGCAATTGAGTACGGTACTTTGATAAAACTTCTCAATTTATCGGTGTATTCTCCCCCGGAGGTTGCAACAGAATAAAAGGAGAGTTGCTTGTCGAAGTGGCTGCTGTTGAATCAAGACCTGGATTGCTGCTTATCTAAAAATCCTTATCTCGGACCCTTGTGTCGTTCCTGGGAACTTGTCCCGCTGTTATTCGTTCCCATCCTGTGCAGGAGGGTCTACGACTCGCTCCCGGCCCCATCTCGTCTCTTCCTGCGCGCCCGATAAAAAGCGCCGTCGGCTGCCGTGAGAAGTCATATAACTGCCTTATGCCAAATAGAAAAAGAACCGCGTCCGGCCATCGCAAAACTGCCAATAACGTCGCGCTCGCCGATGCGATTTACGAGAAATTTACACTACGATAATTAAATTAACGTTATGTATATTGTACCGCTGTCGTAACTATTACCTTATATATCTCGCATTGAATAAAGATACTTTTATATAAGCTAATCAACGCCTTTCCAGAACGTTTATCTCCCTTCCCGTAAAGATCTCGACGAGTTACAAATTTCACAACGCGAGAATAAACAATAATAGATTAATAAAACGCTGCTACGTGTAATAGTTAATAGACTTATAGCTTGAAATTTTGTCTGTTTGATAGAAGTGAAGAAGATCGAGCCTCATCGTTTTATTTGTAGTATTTTATATTTGACATTTATTTCTTATCGTCGTCTACAAAATAACACGCAAAAGGAAATCATTTGGAAGATATAAAACAATATATTATTTTCTTAAATAAATAAATTTCGATTTTAATAAAATTAATTCCCTCTTTTCGGTAAACAAAAAAGATAAGAGTATATATCTTGCGTTGGTTTTAAGCTACATTTAAAAATAATATCACGCTAAGCTCTTGAGCGAAGGCAGATCTGGAAGCGATATAAATGAGGATAAAATCGGAAAAAAAAGGAGAATGTGTCAGGGGAAAAACGCTTTACGTGTGTTACGCGGAACGCATAAAAGAACCAAACTAAATGAAGCAAGAACACTGAAATCATTTGACAGTTTAATAAAAGGCGAACGGGCCTTCCAGGACACGCGAAGTTCACATACAAGCTCGTCGTACGAAATGAACGTACACGGTGAGAGATCGATATTATATTTATATTTATAAAATTATTCATCATTAGAAAGCACATATGATCTATCTATATGACGTAATTTGCTACGCACACCCGCGTACGAGCGTGCCTACGAACAACGCACGCCTCCACACGCACACACACACATACGCACGCATACATACCGCACGCCTAACACCACACAACGCTTCCATCTCGCACCCTGACATAAGCACGCACACGCGCGGACATACACAAACATGTACGTGCGTACTAATCTCGTTCTTTTTTTCTCTTTCTTTCTCTCTCACGCTCTTTCTCTCTTTCACCCTCTTTTTCTCACTGTCTCTCTCGTACGCGTAATATACGTATCCGCGTTCACAGGCGAGTACATGCCTATGTATGTACGTGTACATATTCAGAGTACCTCACGGTTGTGTTTTTTTCTCTTTTTCTTTTACGGAGATTACAACTTTGTAACTGCTTTCGATTGGAAGAAAAAGCAACAGGGGACGAGCAGGCCAAGTATTTAAGTCATCACAGTATCAACATCTCATCGTTCTCATCGTTATCATCCTTATCATCATTACCATCATCATTATCATTACCGTCGTCGTCGTCGTACTTGTTTCCCTCGCGCCACGGACAAAACCGTATTTCATGCTGTACAAAATATCAAGAAACAACGAAAGCAAAACAACGACGCACGTGTAAGTGACTATCAATTTTTTCACTAGACACACTCAACGAACAAATCCGATATTTTTATTATATCACGAAATGACTCGAAATACTAAACAAGATACGATACAAGCTAATTTTCGTCAAATAATTTAAAAAAAAATTCAAAACACGCGAATCCCTTTTCCCTTCGATAAAAAAACTTTCGAAATTTAAAATTTAAAAAAAACAGAAGACGAACGCATAACAAATATAAATATAATACACGCCAAATAACACTAGAATTGCCACGAGCGCGTCCGTCCGAATCACATTTGCAAATCACGGTCGAAACGAAACGGAAAAGAGAGACGGCGAATTAAAAACAAGATTCCGTCGATGCAAAAGAAAACTCGCCGACGTCGTTCCATTCGCGTATACCCCCCCCTCCCCCTTCTCCCCGAGAGTACATCGTTATCGTCAGTCGTCACACACATCCAAAAACCTCTAGTAGCGATTTCTTCCAACTTTTCGTAAGTGGTGAACTTCCTGGAAAAATAAGACACTTGCGTGAGATTTCTTTCATATGTATGTGTACACGCGTATACACACACATACGCGCGCGCGCATAGCATCGTGTGCATATACACGTGTAGGTGTAATTAGATTTCCTCTTTTCTCATTTATATAACAACAGATGTTCATTTAGAAGTAATTTAGTGTGCATCTAAGACCCAAAAGAGAATCATTACCGAGCTATGCAAAATAGAAGATCGATTTCCTTTTTTTTCTTCTTTCTTTCTCCATCTCGCATGTATAGATATATAAATATACGTCAATTTATATATCGATTATACATAAATAATGTCCGCATCTATTATTTATATATAACGCGTACATAAACCCACTATACATATATATACATATACATTTATACAATATATTTATATTTATATATTTATATTTATATAAAGGTACTCTTACTATTGAATAGAAATATGCATATTCCAAGTGTTCAATAATATCAATATTGATATATATATAATATATATATAATAAAATAATATAATAATTATTCTTATTACTATAATAATATAGCAATTGCAACAAGAATATTTGTAATAGTGATAATAATAATGTCGATAATAATAATAATAATAATATTAATAATATACTAATAAAATAAAATAAAATAATTAATAGTTATTACAATATAATAATAGTTATAATCATATTAACAACAACAAGTATTCTTTGTCACATTTTGGTTGCAGATTCTTACAATCACAAATATATTATCCATAAATGTAATAGTCGAAAAAGGATGTTAAATTAAGGAGAATATACGTGAATAGAGTGCTCTATTTCTTTCTTTTTTTCCTCTGTGTATAGAATAATTAAATCCTATAAATAGTATCTATATCTTCAACAGCCAGTGGTATAGTAAAGTATACCTTTTTTGAGGTACCTATATATAGTTTCCTCTCCTTTTTTTCCCCGCTCTTGTGATATACCAAATACAATACTGACGGAGAACGCGATACACACACAGCCACACACGCACGCAAACATTAACACACACACACACATATACACACGTATCGACAGGTAAAATGCGAATGTGGATTCATCGTATGCCTGTGATCGTTATCCCGGTATACGATGGCGACATGTATCTGCGATCATCCGAAGCCGAGACGAGAGCTCGACGAGAGAGAAAGACTTTCCTCAATCAAGACAAACAAGAAAAAATAAACAATCGATAAAAATCATAAAAAGCGACGGGAACGAACGCCGCGAATCGATTCTCTTCCGTGTCGCGATATGCCGCGACCCCGTTACTCCTGGCGAACACCGCGTACCACTCATTGTCAGCCAACAAATCTCGACACAGCCAAACAGAAACGGAAACTTTTGGTCCTTCAGGTTCGAAAAACAACAAAGAAAAGGGAATAGGTCCTGCCGTTTCCCTCTTTTTTTTCTATCTCTCTTTTTCTTTCTATCTCTGCCTTTCTATCTCACTTTTGCCCTCTATTTCTATCTTTCTATCTTTCACTTTTTTTCTCTCTCTCTCGTTCTCGTTCTCTCGTCTCTTTTTCCTCGACTGATCGACGGGCAACATTCTAGAGAGCACCGCGCGCTAGTTTTGCATTGTATTTGGTGATACGTATATGAATACTGACTCCGTGTGTGACGTTACATATAATACAATAGTATCCATTACGTATAAGTGTATATGCATTTTGTAACTCTCTTTCTCTTATTTTCTCTCTATCTCTCGCGCATTTTCTCCCTTTCACACCCTCGCTCTCTTTCCGCGTTTTTTACGTCCTATATATCTCCGTTCCGCTCTCCGCACACTCAAAAATATATTACATATAACTCTTTACTGCATGACGGGATGGTGGCCCGCAGTCACTCGGACTGTAGCAGCTTCTGCAGCAACGACGATTTCGTCGGATCACCTCGTGCCTCCTCCATAGTAATCTGAAATCAAAAGATTTCGTTAAAATTGTATTCGCGATTCCTGTTATCGACTAAGATTTCGAAACCGATCGCGAAGAGTACACATCTATAGAGTAACCGGAATATTTGCAAAAACTACAAGATATTTAAAAAATCAGTTTTTTCGTACTAAAATTTAAATCTCTGATTCTGATACTGAAGTACCTTTGTCTTTGATATCCTAAAAACTCAATTAAATAATAAAATTAATAACGAAAGCAGGCACTATAGAACCAGAAACCGTTTAATAAAATTGAATCCGTGAAAATCTATGACACTGGAAATTTAGAGATTTGTTAAATGAAGAATTAGTAAAACGAAGAATTTACAATACCAAAAAATAATAAAAAATTGTATGGCACTGAACACAAAACTAATTTCTTTAATAATTTTTTAAATCAAAGATCCAGAAATTTATAATATTAAACCAATTATAATACAATTAATGGTCGAAACATTGTGAATGTTACAATTAATAAATGTGGCCAGTTAGGTCTAATAAAAATCAATTTCGTTAATTATTTACTGCCGACGATAAGTTTCGATTCATTTATTATAATGAAATGAAAAATTTACAGCATCAAAGATTTAGGATTTTAAGGATCCGTGAAATTAAGGTTCTGCAAATCCAATATTTATGAAACAAAGAATCAGTGGGTCCAATAAGGAGAGCAAGAACTCTCCAATGAAATATTTCTCCAGCAATCGGTTTCAAATCGCTTTGATGATCGGCAGTCCACTGCGATATTTCCATCGTATAAAATTCGAACATTAATCTAAGATATATTTTTAAATAGCAGCATTAATGGTGCAGCCGTGTCTCGTATATTTAGTAGCCGCGTATACATTTTTATGGAAGAATTATTTAGAATTTAAGATTGCAAGAATCCACGCATTTGAAATCCAATGTCTTTGTTAATCAGATGCGCGAATCCTTTCAATAGCTATATGTCCAAACAATATTTCGCCCTGACAAACTTAAAGAACAGAAATCTGAAGCCACATAGCAACTACACATCCAATATCTCAATGCACAATGATCGCTACTGCAAAATCTTTCAAACGGAATACTCCGCCTTTAATTTGCCAATTGAATACTTCTTACTTCACGATCGATACAAGCGTAACTCAAAAGACTTCCTTATTTTTATAGAATAGATTCAATAGAACAACAATTATTGTACTCTTCAATTTTTGTTTCATATTTCTGATACGTGGATAAAAAAATTTTTAACATGTATATTAATAACAAATATTATCATTAGAGATACATATTATTATCTAGATTGAAATAAATTTTATTTTTTTGCTCGGTACGCGATTAATGCTCTCGATTAATGCACTCGATACGTAAATTACACAAAACTATCGCTGCTAAAAAAATTTCTGTTTTGTAAGCTTATTTTATAAGCAAGTATATTATATGTTGAAACTTGAAAAATTGACTTTAAATTAATGACAAACAATCGTGATTTGGCTTTGAGAGTAACAACGCGGTCATCAGTGCGTAACATATAAAAAACCTGATTTATTTTAACCCGTTGAGGTCACATGGGGTCCAGTGGACCCCAGGCTTTTTTTTTTTTTCTTAAAAGTATACTATTTTGAGAGTAAAACGCACAAAGTTTTTTTACTCTATCTCAAAAAATTTTGATGAATATTTTTGTGAAAAAGGTCAAATTTCTCGAAAAAAATTTTTTTTCTCGCGTTTTTTCAACATAAAAAAATTTTTTAAATTATTGGATTATCAAGAGGAAGTCATAAATTAATTCCAGTTCAAGGTTTGAGTCGATACATCAAAAAGAACGCAAATGGAAACTGTTGTGGGGTCCATTGGACCCCATGTGACCTCTACGTTATTTTTAGGAGGTGTGAGACCTCAACGGGTTAAATTTTAAAAAAATTACAAAAAATTCTAAATTAATGAATTAATCGCGTTCCAATCGAGTTTCCTTACAAATAACTATGATGTACTCGATATATAGAACATTTAGAAAATCGTATAACTTTAAATTTAGAATGTTTTTTTTTTCTAAACCCTCCTTTTTGTAGCATTAGCGGGTTTCCTCATGCAATACGAATAAATCGTTCTCGAAAAAAAAAAAGAAATTAAGGACTACGCGTAGATATCTAGTTGGCTCACTGTGAAAAAGCATTACTAGACGTACGTTATACAATACAACAAATGGTAGTATGATTACTGATTACTCCGAATGAGCTGAAGCTTACAACACCATCACCCTGTAGATATGAAAGGAAACACTTTTTGCTTGGCATCCCCTGGACGCTCAATACGGGAATAAGTGCATTGCGCTGAAATCTTTAAAAATATTGAAAAGAAAATCATGCGCGGCGTATACGGGAGAAATCCCAGATGCTTCTTGATTTGTACGAAAAATTGCTCTCCATTTTAGGTTGTTAAATTTTTTGTGTAAGTAAAATAAAAAATTCAATTTAATAATTAGTTATGTAAATTACTAATTTACGAATTTTATTGAATTTTACTTAATAATCGTCACAATAAGAGTGAAATAATTACAAAAATAAATTTTTTGTATGTTATGAAGATAAAATTTATTAACAAAGTTATATTTTACGTGAAATAGTTTCCAAAACTATTAAATATAATAAATATTTCATTAAATTATTTTAATACGAGAAATACTTCACATTTACAGGTATCCCCTTTTTTAAATAAATTTATGTACCAACTTTTTTAAATTCTTAATTAGATATTATCATTTTTCAATTTTTTTTAGCATTTAAAGGTAAATTTTCTATTAGTTCGACTTTAAATCAATTTTATTGAAGCAAAATCTTAAAATCAATTGAGAAAAAATAAAATTATTTCATATACTCGTTCACTCACATACATAAAACTCTCTTCTCATATTTTCAACCTTTTAAGATATATAATCCGACTATAATCCGAAATCTATATTGAGAAAAGTGATGGAACTTTAAATTCGAGATACGTGAATATATTAAATCCCACATTTATATCATCTAACAACTGCCTAAATTTTCATAAATCTGCAAGTCTTCGTATTTCTTTAACATTTAGAGTTCTACTAATTATTTCCGTCTAATAAAATGTCATAAAATTAGCGTTACGCTGGCATCAGACGTACGCTTGCATGAACGGAACAAAAATTAAAAGAAGTTACTCGCAGTTAATGCAGCCGGTGAAGTACAATTAGTTTCTTGCACAAAATGTAGAACAACTCATGAACGCGCTACATTATGCAGACAGTAGAGGCAATTAACATGTTTAGCTAATGCGCCTCGATAAAGTTTATTTCGAACGAGAATCTACTTGGCGTGGTAACAAGATCAGCTTGTTTAATACTAAACACAGCGTTTCTCATTGACACTGAGTGTAAAACTTAAGCGCCTTTGTCGACAACATTTAACGCATTATTGCAATGCGTGCTTCTTAATAAAAAAAAATGTAAAGGACATTTTTCAAACTTTTTGTAAGAGATATAATATTAATTCTATTTTTGGGGTGCTAAATATTAATTTTATTTTCACTTATAAAAATACCTCTGTTTTTGCAACATTGCTTTTTGCGAAATAAATGTTACATAAAGTTTGAATTTTTAAAAATATGAATTTCGATATATTTTATAAATTGGAGACAAAAATTTCGCGATTTGTTTTCTATCTTTAAAGATTTGTGAGATAGTCGAAAAAGTCACCGAAATATGTAATTAAATTAAATATTTTCATTAATATATTTTAAACTCGCGCGTTAAACAAAAAATGTAAAATATTTATTTAAAGAGTCATAATTAAAGAAATAAATTTAAAGAGTTATTTTTATGAAATCAAATTCCTCCGTCTCTTTCGTCAATTAAACTGGAAAAGGAAATAGAATTAAATAGTAATAGAAAGAAAAAGAAGTAGTAATCAATTCTACAACTATAAAGCCAATCCCTAATTTACAAGATTTAGAAAATTCGTAGCTTCGCCAAATAAACGCTATCTCCCTCGATTCTTCTTTAATTATCAACTATTCAGGGCACGTTCTACTTTAGCATACACAAGAGTCGAATCTCCAACTATATACGGCTCTATTGCGAGAAAATCCGAGAGAATTATCGTCACGTGCGAGTACTGTAACGATAATGCCGAGACACGGTCGTCGAAACGACGACCTCGCATGCATTTGTAGAGCGCTCTAAACTTAAAAAAAAAGTAAGTAACCCCATACAAGTTTTACGCTCAGTGCGCAAATAGAGAGAGATCATTAAACATGTTTCGTGCACAATCAGTTCTGAAGCCAAGCGTATAGAGGGAAGACATAGCATAACAAAATAAAAAAAAATAATAATAAATAAATAAATAATACGTAAAAGTAATTATATATTGTCGGAAATGGGGCTCTTACCCTGGAGGACGAGGGGGCACTTCCGGCGCTCCCCCAGATCTTGGCGGGGCCATCGCTAACCACAGCCTCACCTAGTTGGGACATCGTAACAGTAGGCGTTACCACAGTCTTTGTAGAACTAAAGTATTGCCTCTCCTTACAAGAAGCGGGAGATTACGCATAGCGGAAACGCGCGTGCTTCAGCCTGTACATCGATACGGATTCGGATAGGACTTCCCGATCGACCGAGGACTCGCTTTGGCCTCTCTCGTGAAAGACTTGCGAATTATTGTGCTGACAGTTTTCACTCCAATCAAAGCGCGATTGAAAAATTTTCACGTGGCACTTTCTGCATTCGGAAACTACCTTGGAAGAGAGTTAGGACGGTTGACGCTTTTTCATCATGTATCTCTGAAATTTCTTACGTAGATCTCACGGAGAAACACACGGGGCCTCAGGAAGATACGATTATAAACAAGTGTAATTAGTTGTAACAGTAATCGCGTGCGATGACGAGTCTAGAAAAAAATGTGCGTGATCTACGAGGGTAAAACTATATAATATAATGCTTGTAATACTTTTTCACAGTACTCGCTCATGAAAAGCTCACGTCGTATGAGAGATTAATATCAGGATTGCAAGACCGGAGTTATGTAACATTGGGATTGTATACGATCAAAAGTTCGACAAAATTTGGAGGAAGGTAAGCAATGCCTCTCTATGGAGAAATACAGACTAAAAAGAAATGCAAACTTATTAAATTTAACTTGCCTCGTCGCGAAACGGCAAATCGCCTACGAACGATCGTTAAACTTTCGATTCGCGTATGCCGAGAGAAGCATACTACGAAATCTCGCATTTCGAAAGTGAGCAACTCCCACGCTCTGCCTCACACTTAAATATTTTACGAATGTAAAATGTAACTTACAGATAATAAAAAAAAATTTTACATATATATTTGATATATTCGTACATTTACAAATTAAATTGTATGACCGGTTCTGTCAAAAGCGCGAATAATAAGACATACTACAGCTGCGCAAAACTCTTCATTCGATTCGATTGCTCTGCCATTCTAATTCCGAGCGCAATTGTCATTGTGTCAAAATAAAAAAAAATAAAAAAAGAAAACGGAGAAAAGTATTAACATGAAATGTAGCTTTACTGAGATTCCCAGTTTTGCTATGTGAGCTTGCTCGCTAAGCTAATCATTACCTGAGTAGCCGTTTTACGCAATTACGAGATAAGTTTCCGGAATGCAGCAGACAAAGATTGCGAACTACCCCACGTACCTGCAGAAGGCATCTCGAATGTCAGACCAAGCGCTTCAAGATCGTCCTGAGAAACTTGAGAAACTTGACCAGAAAGATTATTCTGTAGGTTGTTGGGCACTCGTTGTTGCTGCTGCTGCTGTTGCTGCTGTGTTCGCGCGCCGACAATCGCCCTCAATTCCTGCCGCACGAACTCCGAGGTAGCGTTACCTATAACAAGAGAAATCTTTATAAACAAAGCGTCGTCGCGCAACATCGTGTTGCATTTCCTTTGCACAGTCACAGTTCTCAAAATTCCAATCTGTGCGTTATGTGTGTATACGTATGTGTGCGCGCGCGCGTGCGATTTTAATATTAATTTATTGTGTCCGTCACAATGCGAAATACTGCATTCGTGGCACAAAAGTTCTGCGACAAAGATAAAAAAAAATTCATTGAGATGAAAAAATTTATCTTAATGAATAAAATTCAAATACACCTTGATAATGATAAATTCAATTGGGTTGAAAACAGTGATGATTCCATTTGTCGTTCAGTAAAACATAAAAATGTTTCATACGTGGTGTGCTTTCTCTCAATAACGTAGATAACGTAGTATTTCCTTTGGAATTGATTTTCTTTTCATAAACGTTGAGTTATTTATCAATATTAAATATTTTGACAATTAAATCTAGAGTAAAAATTATATTAAAGTCTATTTGAATATAAATGACAAATGTTTTATTTTTTAAATATAAATTTATAGAGGTAAATATATGAAAAAGTTTTTTACATGTGCGAGATAGCGCATATGTAAAAAATTTCATGGTAATTATTTTTGAAAAATAATATGTAAAAGACGAAATTTATCATTAATTTAATATTTCATTTGTCGTACGAATTTTCCGGACTGATCGACCATCGGAGGGAAAAATTTTCAAGTATTCAAAAATTTCTACCCCAGCCAATCAACACAACTGTCATCGAAAAATTTGTCATACGATAAATGAAGTAGGACAGTTAAATTATTCTAGCCCTTTTCTATAGGTCTTCTATTGTTTCTTTCATTTCCCTTGAGGTTCCCATGCATTGTTCCCATCACATCCATAAGAAAGCTAAATCAAATTCTTTTGAATAGGAAAAGTGAAGAATAAACGCGTTATTTTTCACCAGTTTTACTAGACAATGCTTTGTGTGCAATATTTATTTTACTGGTAATTTCTAGGTAAAAATAGCATGGTGACTCTCTTTCGCAGCTTAATCTCCAGATCCCGCACCACACGACCTCTTTTTGTTCTCAGGTCTAAAATAGAATTGAAAGGAAAGAAATTTTCCAAGAAAGAGCACGTAGAATAACACCCAAGAAAGCACTAGGCCTCTTTTCAAAAGACGAGGCTAAATATTGTTTCCGTCTATAGAAGAGTCGCTGGGAACAATGCGCTGAACCGTGAGATAAATATTTCGAAGAGGGTGTCCAAAGTGGTCAAGGTTTTTCGTATTTTAATCTCTTCTTTAAAACCGAGATTTTTCAGATATTCCCTCATATAATAAACTTAAAAAAAAGTCTTCGATCTGTAATCAAGAGAAAACACACGACGTGCCGGTGCTATCTTATCTATTTAATTATCATAAAATTTCAATCATTTATCAAATAAGTGATGCATACATTATGATGGGATTGACAGAACAAAAATGGCGCAAAATATATAAAAATATTAATCACGAAAGCTCGATACACTGTACACAAAGATGCCTCGTTGTTAGTAAATGTTTCCACAGCACGTAAAGATAAGCGGTGTTTGAATTCATCTTTTTTACATTTGTGATATTATATTACACAGATGAACATAGATGTGTGATCTTTCCCCCCTTCCCACTCTGAGAGATGAGAGAATGATTAAGATGTAATAAATCTGACGTCACATTTGCCACTTTCAGCGCTTCCCGCGCTACGCAAAACAGAATGTTGTCCCACCATATGAAATCATTATTCCATTTCCTGTGTGGAATTATATATGCTCAATAGACGCCGACATTCTTGAAATTTTAATGCAAGCCTACGCTATGATATTTTCAACCATGATACATTTTGCGTACTACGAAAATGTGTACAGTCGAACTATCTTAATCTCGATCTTCCCCTATAGAAAGTAATACGTAAACTGGACTTCTTCCTCTTGCGATGGTCTCCCACCATTTCGCATCTGTCAAGCATGCATAGAATGAAAATATGACTAGTGAGATTATGGACACGCACGAGTGTGTGGGACTGCAACATTAGTCACGTTCAGCCGAGACAACGGTTGTGTGCAGCAGCAGTCGAATGTGATAGGTTCTTACCTTTAGATCCAATAAATCCTCAGGTATCTTACAACAACTTAACGATTTGTCCATTTTCATTCTACACGTATGCTATAACAATGTGAGAACCGAAGGGAAAGTTGGGACCAAAAGATTTGCTCAGTCCCAACGAGTTGAAATTAAGGAAGTTCGGCTTATATTTCTTAATTGCTATCGCGATATATAAATTACAATATGGGCTGTGTACCAAAATTCACCACCAGTGTTGGTAATCTATAGTACACGTAACGTATACTATAGATTTTCAGCGCTGGCAATGAATTTTGAAACACAGCTGTGACATAATATAATACAACTCCGTGTCGACACCTTTGATATTTAACAATGCAAAGATGTCCACGATTATGTACAAACAGAGAAACTAATAACGATACCCATAACATTGAGTTATCTTCCAATAACAAAAGATCGCTCAATGTTATTACGTTCAACAGCGTTAATTGCAATGATTTTATTCAATTAAGGAATTAAAGAAATGACGTAAATGGCATAAATTTTGTTTTTTTTTAAATTTTCCATTTCTCAAATTACAGAACTTTATATATGTATATATGATACTTCAATAATTTACATTGACAATAGAATATATGGACGGAGCCATAGCTGCCTATGTAGGCAAGGGGGGTAGCAATAATACGATAGACGTGAGGAGATCACTACAGTCAGTGTACTGACATCAATGACTTTCGTTGACTGACAGTAGACTCTGTTCTATTTAGCTGAACTTCTTGCATAGTCTTGTTCATCTTTTTTCTTTTCCTCTCTAATTCTAAAAAGAAAGAAAAAAAAGATAAACCGCGCGAAAAATTCAACTAAAAAGAACAGGCCTAGTGATAGACAGTGTATTCCCCTCACCGCTAATATCACCTTCCCCTTCGTAAAAGGCTCTGTCCACGTATTCTACTGTCAATGGTAATTCAAGAAAATAGGATAAACAATATAATTCGATTGGGATCATTACAATATTACGCGATTTACAGTAAGATAAACGCAGTGATACAATATCGTAATGTCGTCCTAGTCACAGCGCTATTTGTGAACGGTGCAGGTGATGATTATGCCAAATTATGTATTTTGCGGGACTATGATAGAGATAGTTGCTTGGATTACACGCAGTGCAAGTATGTGTATATGCTACAAGTAAAATATTGAACTTTAAAGTATACAAATTCTTCTTAAACTAAGTCCCACCTATTTTCTATGTCAGAACTGTCTAACCTGTTGAAATCACGCGAATAAATAATAAACAAGAGACAGGATAAAGCAAGAAAAAAGAAATGCAGAGTAAAGTAATCGTTTATAAGCACAGAGTTAGACAGATCTCTTATACGAGGAGCAATCAAATATAAACGGGAATTTCTTTTTTCTTACGGCCAGGTAAGTTACGGCACGGCACTGTGGGCTTGAGGGGATGAAGGTGGGAATGTCTGGTCTCGATTCCGTCCTCGGGACCCTTACCGAGCCTCCGCGTCAGTCAGTAGCACGATGAGCGAGCAGGAGGTGCACCCGTCCGTTGCGCAACATTTTGTGATCAAGTTTCTGATAAAAGAGGAGTTAAACCAGCTGAAATTTTGAGAAGACCTCGTGCTCAGTTCGGGGAATGACAACCCGGTCTTCTTAAAATTTCAGCTGGTTTAACCCCTCTTTCATCAGAAACTTGATCACAAAATGTTACCCAACGGATGGATGCACCCTCTTGCTCGCTCATCGTGCTACTGACTGACGTGGAGGCTCGGCAAGGGTCCCAAGGTCGGAATCGAGACCAGACATTCCCACCTTCATCCCTTCAAGCCCACAGTGCCGTACCGTAACTTACCTAGTCGTAAGAAAAAAATTCCCGTTAATAATTTGATTGCCCCCCGTACATTATTATAAGATACACAAGATTTATTAATTTAGATTATTTTGGATGATTCACCTCGATTTCCATGGTCACATGTTTTCGGCATTACTCTTCATATTTCTCCGCAAGATAGGAAAAGAATTTTCCCGTTAGCTTTTATTTACACTTATGTCCATTTCTACCAATACAGATTAATTTTAATCTCGGTTTAACATACTTTTCGTCTCTTCCTAGTTTTCTAAGAATTATATAAAGATAATAAATAAGTTAAACCGAGATTAAAGTCAATCTGCATTGGAAGAAATGAACATTAGATACATTTTATATACACTTTAAGATATTAAGATGTGACCTGGAAAGAGATGAAACATTCCATAGGAACTGCAATAATCACAGAAACGTTTACCTTCATACTATCATATTATATGATAGTAGGAAGTATTAATATTATATTATATTATTATTATATATAAGAAAGATGATATTATTATTATATAATATTAAAAAGTATTAATTTATGACTCTCCTAACGTCGACTACTTTACTATCTACAATAACTTAGATGAAAAAATTCGAAATTAAATTTAGTGCAACAATAAAGAGATTTGGGTGATAAAAGAGCCGATGTAATATAGAGTCGGCATAATACAATCGACAATATTTACAATTGACAATGTGCAATTATAGTTCTCTCTATCTGATAAATCTGATGAGAACGTGTTAGTATACAGGATGTCCCACTTTTAAACGATCGCCCCTCACAATTTTTAATCTTTTCGATTTTAGAAAAAAAATGTTTCAGACAAAAGTTGTATAATCTTGAAAATAGATTTTTTCGAAAAAAAATTGATGTCACCATTATTTGTCCTCCTTCAGATCACACAATTTTTGTCTGAAACCTTTTTTTTCTAAAATTGAAGAGAATGAAAATTTTGAGGTGTGATCGTTCACAATGGGATACCTGTATATCATAGTGTACATTGATATAAATGATTTTCATCTAATATGGCCACAAGGATGTAAATTATTATCAGCTTACACATATTTAGCATTATAATAATAGTTATGACACTTAATGGACACTTATAATAATGACACTTGATGAAAATTACAATTACATTTAAAAAAAGCGTCATGCAACATTTACCAAATATTCTCATACTTATATAAAATGTTTGTGTTTGAACAAATACATAGAAACAGCCCTTCAGAAGATATTCATGAGTTTGACAATGTCGAATAAAAGTGCGCAATGGCAAAAGCTTTGGTTTAGAAAAATGTGTAAATTAAAAAAATATTAAGTAAAATTAAATTACACATTCATACAATCTATATAATACCGTACTACTGTATAAATTGTATATAATATTACGTAATATTGCATATATAGTTATATACTATATATATAATATTATATAATATATTCTAAATATATAATTATATACAAAAATTGATAGGTCCAATATGGAAACCAGAATATATCAATAATAGATATAATTACTAACATGAAATTAACTTTTGACAATAAAATATCAAATATTGCTCCCTTATCTTAAATGATATATAGTAGATGGACTAATTAGATCGTAAACGGTGTCGTTACGAGGCAGTACGCAATGTACGCTCCAGCGTAGGACGCAAAGTTTTGATAGTCAATAATTCTTGAAGTGTCCAAAAATATGTGAAAATGGACCGTTCTGTCAGCGATAATCTGCCCCTATCTGGCTCAACGCCGCGCTGCCCGTATATATAGATCACATAAATACTTCCAATGTACTTTAAAAATCTTTAAATCAATATAAAACTTCAGAATTAAAACTTTATAACAAAAACACAAATTATCTGATATAAATACTATTGAACTGTTCGATGAGATAAATCTATGTAAAACAATATTTTCAGATATACAACAAAACACTTTGCAATCACCCAATTGATATTTTAAATAAATTAGCTTAAAATGGCTTTTTGGTAATATTTACCAATTTAACAAAAGCGGTCTGAATATTATTACTATGCCAATATAATATCTGTGACTACTGGTGAAGCAATTTTTCAAAATTAAAATTAATCCAAAATTACCTCAGAAGTACAATGATGCAGAAGCGATTATCCGATTTAACAATCCTATTAACTGAGAATGAACTGGTCAATAACCCCAATTACAAAAATATTGTAGGAATATTCGCAAAGACTAAGACTAAAAAACATAATTTTTAAATAACTTTTTTCTTATTTTTATAAAATATGTATATTATTAAAAAATAAGATTTAAATATATTAATACATTTAACAATATAAAAAAATACAAAAATGAAATAAATTAAAAAATTTGTTTAAATATAAAAAGATAAAAATATAAAAAAGAAAACAGAACCACTATTCTAAACTTCGTTCGTGGTTCTGGGCAATATTCTGGCGTATATATATTAACGCCAAAAACGGGAATTTTTGAGACTATTTTTTATTTGCTTTTGCAGCTTCGCGTTGGGGCGCGCGAGCGAATCCCAGCGTTGGGGCGACTAAGACGACAGTCGTAACGTCACCGATTGTAAAACTGAAAGATATTTTTTTTTTTTTTTTTAGATATATCGAGTAATAAAAAGGCAGACAAATATCCGAAGCATTTGCATGGTGAACATTTCGATAAACATCGTTAAAAAGAAAAGAGAGGAAAAGATAGAGAAAAAGAGAGCTTTACATGTTTCCAATACACCCAATACATGCTTTGCATCCGCTAAAACTGCTGCTGCTGCTGCTGCCGCTGTTGAAAGTGATGATAGTTTCGATGATAAGACATAGGTGGGTTGCAGGGGATATAAGTATAAGGGTGATACGTATGGCGGCAGCAATGACAATTATTATTATTATCTTCTAACGGGGGACCACAGGGTCGTGATGATGATAATGAAGTGTCACATGACATTAATAAGTCACATGACTTACCACCCATTTGGTGATTGACGGGATTACCGGAAGGCAGTGACCTGGCATCTTGCGCCTCCCCGCCAGACGGATAGAGCGGTACTGACGACCGATCGTAACAGAACTGACTGTTCTGCATGTCTGCCGTGTTGATAGTGTTTGCGTTGGTGTGTTGATATAGCATGGGGGTATGTTGTTGGCTCGAGAAGTGTTGTGTATTGGTGGCGTTATGTTGATTATGGGTAGGTGTTCCCGGACAAGCCGAGTGTGAATGACTAGGTGAAAGAAGAGGTTGTTCCTTACTCACGCCGCCGTAGTGCCGAGGCGAGCCAATCCCACCTGCAACATCAATTGTGTATACCCGGACTGCCCTTCGCCAGCCTTTTGCCGAAACATTTAAAACGCTTCTATTTCGCTTTCATGTACCATGCCAGCGCTCATTGTTAAATAGCCACGTACAATAATATCGAGATCAAAAAAAATCTATATATCGAATAAATTAAACAACCGGGGTGAATTAACGCACCCGGAAAGCGGGTTCGATTCTGCTAGCCAAAAGTCAAAAGCAGATACTCATATGCCAAATAAATAAAACTCTGGTATTTCCGAAATTGTGAAAAGGTAAGTCTCTCGATTTAATGATGCTATTTTTGTTGGGTCTTATATTCGCAAAGAATCGTCAGTAAGTATTATATGGACAGTCATAGATATGATATAATTAAAAGCAATCGAAAATTTTGCGCTATAGATATTATTGTCTCGTTTGATAAAAAACTCTTTATACGTTTTTTAAATTAACTCACATATAATAAAATTCATTAATCTCACTCAATTTATTATATTATTTTATATCCTATAATTATACTGGAATACTAAGCTTATGTTAAAAAAGGAATTTGTTGAGCTTTTTCACGAGTGAGGAAACAAAATTATAAGACTTTCTGCTTGAGAGAGTAGATAAGAAAAAATTATGAGAGATAAGAAAGCGTTTCAATCTCTAGTATAACACATCGCTCCAATCATAAATTATTAAAAGATTAAATCCACAAATTATGCAAAATCTGCTACGTTTCTCAGAGTCACGCTTTCCTTTCTAAAAAATTTGACACATTACGTAATTTCTATTCACAGAAAAACATCGAGATGTACAGGCATAAAAAATACTAATAAAGTCTATGCGCATACCCGACTAATCTACGCACGGCTTCCACAATTTAGTAGATTAAACAAAGTTAATCTTAATCTGTACATACTTACCGACCTTGGAACAAAATCTTTCAGTATATTTCAATCACAGCTTCCATCGCGCGTATAATTGTATGTTAAGTCGCATATCGGCTTTTATTGTAAAAATCAGCTCAATGAGCCTCTACGTAAAAACTATTGCGCAAATACTTATTCAAGGCTATCTTTACTACTACCCGCGAAAGACACGAAATCGAGTTAACATATTTAAACGCATTAAAACAGACCTATTTAAGAATCACGCAGTAAACCTCCCTCTTATTAAGAGACTCATAGATCGCGTGAATCACATTACGACTTAAACATTAAATAACATTATACTAATCAGAATACTCTGTAGAGAAGTCGATTTACCGATATTAAAAATTATACTTGAAACATACAGTGAAACAAAGAATATTATAAAAAGTAGTTATAAAAATAATTTTAATTGCCATGCAAATTCTTTCTTAAAAACATTCAAGTTTTCAACGTATTTAAATCAATTAAAACAAATATAGTTAAACACGCGTTCGCACGGTAAAACGACTTCCCGATGCTTATATTAACGATGCATATATTTCTAATCTTACAACTAAATATATAATATCCGTCATATTGTTCTTTTGCACACCACATAATATAAAATCCCATATTTGTCATTACTTCATTCACTACTAAACAATGAAATATCCAAGTATAATTTTCTATTTGATGACTAGTATACAGTATACTAAAGTATACTAGGGTATAGTATACTTATATAGTATAATTTAGTATAATTTAGTGTACTAAATTTTTTATATACTAAATTCTTTATATATATATTTCTAATTAATATTAGTCAAATATTTTTCATTGTTGCAAATTCGAAGGAATGTTTCCTATACAACCGCACAACCGAATCCTTTTCTCTTTTTCTTCAATCTGCCCTGATTATTTTAACTGCGATAATCCTAATTATATTTTAGCGTTAAAACGGGGGAATATATGACGATCATTCAAATCCGATAATTTATTAGTACGAATAAATGTATACCTGGCAACTGAGTCGTAGCAGAAGGTGTAGACGTGGTTCGTTGCAGTCGATACTGGGCCGACGGATTTGGTGCACCAGTATTGGGACCCGGTGGGAACTGGCTAGCCGTAGGCGACGTCGGTGGAGGAAACGCTTCGGCAGGAAACGGGGATTGCCTGGCGGAGGCTGCCGTCCCCGGCGAAGGCATCGATCTTTGTTGTTGCTGTTGTAACTGTTGTTGCGCCGTGACCTGCTGTTGCGGCCTCACCTGGTTCACGTTGAATAATCTCGGTGTGTTGCCGTAATTGCCCTGGCGCATATATCGTGCAAACGTATAAAAATATCCAGAGAAATAAAGAAATGACAAATATAAAAAAAAAACTATAAAGCAGAGAAAGAAACAATATATGTATCATATAATAAAATATAAGTAGAAATTTAATGTATAATAAAATTCAAGCTTGTAATTTTTATGCGTTGCATTGACACTTAACTTGCATGGTTAATCACATAAATATTAATTAATAAACTTTTTTGCATGTTTTTATCTTTCCAATACGATCATTAAGCCTCAATTAATTCTAACTAATGCTTGTAAAAACATCTTGTACGAGTATTTTGTGTTTTATTGTAGTTAATCTGAGGTAACAATGTTTTCGCACTCACTTGTGCCACCCGTGGGGATAATGGTTGCGGATGAGAGAACGACAATATACCGGCCGGAGAATGTGGCGAAAGCCTCGCCGCGGCAGACACTTGTTGACCACTGTTGAAATTGTTATTCACAATATGGCTGTAGCAAAAAGAAAATCATGTGATGAGATTTTTAACAAAGCTATGTTAAGCATCTCGACTTAAATAAGCAAACCCGGGGTGCTTAACATAACAAAATACTCACTGCTGTGGTATCGTCGATGGATGAGAATACGAATGAGCGAGTCGGTGACCAGAAGCCATCTGGACGGAGGCCCCATAGCCTGGAGAAACTTGTGAATCTGGGACACTCGATCGCTGAATAAAAGAAAAACATTGCACATTTCTAGTAGTTATTTTGCATTTTTTAGAAACAAAACATTGTAGTCAACATTTTAATTAGAAATGAATTAATGCAACTTATCAAAAAGTGCGAATAATTATATTTGTACAATTCGACTTTGAAATTTTTAATATTCGTTATTATTATTAGATATAAAGTCAAAAGAGCAAGAAGTTTCTGTAATTTTTTATTTCTAATTTCTCCTAATGTTTTACTTCTTGTGCTAGCATGATAAGCTGCACACCTGCAACGACACATTCGGCGGCGCAACGGTATTGTTCAAAAGGTTGTCGATGTTAAGGCCACTGCTAATTTGATCCGTCGCAGTAGCATTCGATGGGATAAGCATCTGCTGTTGCTGCTGCTGTTGCAATAATCGTTGCTTCTGCTGCTGCTGCTGTTGCTGAGCTATAAGCTTAGAACGCTGTTGCTGTTGTTGTAACTGCAACTGCGTAAATTGGCTGGTTTGTCTAATGCCTGGTTGGGAATTAAACCTCATCCTGGTCTGTTGGTACATAGGAGGTGGCTGGTAACTGTGACTTGTCGTCACAGGCGTGGTTCCCAACTGCAACAAATTCAGCAACTTAGAATTTCTTTATAAAACAACAAATATAAATTAAAAAATAATTTTGAAGAAGGCGGACAAGATCCAAAATAAGCGACTTAATTGAAGAGGAAAACTTATATATACCGCAGTGGAATAGGCTGGTGGTGTGTTAGACATAGTCATGCTGGAAGATGTCGAATTCACGACACTCTCGCACAACATCAACGACTTCTGAATAGCGCTAATTGCCATTGACTCGTTCATGACATTGCTCTCCGGCACTTCGATAGCATCTGTAAGATTTCGTCATAAACAAATCTGTTAGGTAAAAAGTATATTTAAAATAATACTTAAAAGTATAATCTTCAAAATAATACTTAATAAACTAATAAATTGAAAATAATACTTAGTATAATCTTTAATATAATTACTTTCGCTGCCACACATGATTGGCTGCATTATTATTCCCCGCAAAAAACTGATTGTTCCTAAAACAGTTATACAATTATTCGAATCTGCTATTGCTATTTCGCAAATCGTATTCAAGCCAAAGCGAATTATGTATAAAATAATATTATATAAAAAAATGCTAAAAAGTAAACAAATTTAGATTTGTTTAGTATGCAGAGCGACAACGAAAGTTCAGATATGTATTTATAAAATGTACAATTTTAGATTCAAATAAATGATTCATTGAAACTTCGTGTATCATGCAATATAATTTAAATTTAATATGATATAAGAAAACGTTGTAAAAGTTTACAATTATATTGAAATATAATTACAACATATCATGTCTGTAAAATCAAGCAATCAAACGATTATCATCATTATTATTATTATTATTAGCATTTTACTGTAATTACTTGTGATAGCTTCGTCCGGGACAAATTCAATAACTTGATCCAAAATTTCCGAGAGATCCGGATCCGATGACTGATTATCCCAGGTTGGATCGTTGCTAGTCTGACGGTATTCTCCGCTACCCGCAAACTCGGACTCGATTGGTCCCATTTGGGGCCTTTGTTGCTACAAAAAAAAATATGTTTAAAAATATTATCTAAAATAACGATAAGAGTATATACAGCGAAAATTTAATTAATTTTTATTAACTCTTCAGTTATAGAAAGCATATACCCTACAAAAATAATTCTTCATTTATGAAAAACGTACACATATGCTAGATTATTAGTGGAAGGACTGTATAAAGAGTAATGATTCAGGACAAACAAAAGATCAGGTACAAAAGGTCGGGCACAAAAGATAGACAAGGGTAGCGCAATTCAATGTCAGACGTGGACGTTTACATGAAGCGTCTTCGACGACCAACAGATCCGCGTAAAAACGTGAGTTGCGCCGCCTTTGCTTATCTTTTATATCCGACCCGTGATAAGCGAACTATTTTTTTTTATAATTCTAAGTTTCGGAGAAAATTAAAAAAAAAAAAAGAAGTCTCAGAATTCAGGAATATAACATTTTAAGGACAAATGTTTGTTCTAAATCACTCTGTATATGCGACTATGTTCCACATATGACAGACAATTTTCAGTTAAAATGATAATCTATATATAATTGTTAACGTTTATTAAATTAAATTAAGTCGCGCTTACCTGACTTAGCATATGACTGAGGTAGGAATTGGTTGCTTGACGAGGTAGTTGTCTCGACTGGATTTGGAGAGGACGCGCCGACGTCGCGGTCGTCGTAATCGCATTATTACCACCAACTTGCAAATTGCCACCGGTCCAAGGCTGCTGTTGTTGTTGCGACTGTTGCTGTTGCGGCTGCTGTTGCTGCTGCTGCTGTTGTTGTTGCTGTTGTTGCTGCTGCTGCTGTTGTTGCTGCTGCTGCTGCTGTTGCTGCTGCTGTTGTTGTTGTTTTAACCGAGGCAGCTTGTCCTAATTAAAAGATCAATTATTATTTAAAAAATTTAGATAACATTTCTTATTTTTTATTTTAAGATAACTGCACATAATATCTAAGTCGTAGTATTGTCGTTTTTCCGTTCATTAATGTTTTAACCTGCAAGCAAAATGAAGTAAAGAAAACATTTGTTTCCTAACAATGGAGCAGGTAAGTAATTGGTAGTTTGCCCTTTTTCCCTTTTTCGACTATGTCAAGGCTGCAGTAACGGCTTGGCAAACCAGCCCATTGTTAAGACACAAAGTAAAAAGGGAGAGGAAAGAGGCATTTCCGAGTGTGATAGTTTTTAATTTGACACTCTAGAGATGATATAGAATGTTTATTGAAATTGATATTTTTACGCTAATTCACGTCCTGCGTAATAATGTGTAAAAAATTAACAAAAATAAATTGTTTGGATCGTACCTGTGGCGTTGCCGATATCACAGACGCGGGAATCGGGATACTCGGCGTTGTTTGCCGCGGCTGTTTCGCTAATAAGGACGCCAACATTTTGTTTTTCTCCCATAGCGGAGAACTCTTACTCGTTGCATTATTCGAGGAGCTCGTTCCCGAAGAAGACACCTGATGCGACCCGTCCACAGGCCGTTTCACGGCTATGTTTAAGTCGCCATCCTCTCCCGGTCTCTTCTGACCTACCTGCGTCGTGTTCAGACTCATGTGATCACCTGATTGCGACGGAGATGGAGTAGTATTAAATCCAAGACTCCGCAAAAGAGGATCATCTTCTCGACTCTGTTAGAAAAAATATACTGCTCAGTTCGGGCTACGTGCTTTTGTACTACCCATCCCTTCCCTTCTTCTCTTTCCCGATTCCGTTGCTTTATCCAATAGATTTCGGCTCTTCTCGTAGGCGACGAATGAGAGAAGAAATTTTTTAAAGTGTTTAACTAACGATTGGCTCGGCAAGAAAACCCTAACTCTCATTTATCACTCCATTATACTATAGAATGTGTAGGGCTTTGACCGTTACTAAGTCATTCTTCTTTACGGATTTTGGTCTGATCACAGTATTACTCTACAAAGTGTCCAATTTTAAAGTTTGCAGTGCTATATCTCGCAAACCGATGATTTTATTTAAAAATGTTTCAGACAAAAGTTGCATGGTTTGAAGGGAGACACATGATCCAGACGTGAGTCCTGTAGATATCATCGTTTTCAAGAAATTTTAAAGGTGACTAATTTCTTAAATAAAACTTTATTTTTTCTTTGAGATAAAAGTTGTAGATCTCGTCGAGACGTTTCCAAAATTTTATAATAAAGGAATCGATTGTAAAAAAAAACAGAAAAATTATTTTAAAAAATTCTGTTGTATTTTGTAGAAGCATTTAATTGTGCAAAATTGCAAATGTAAAAATTAATATTATTATTCGATTTCTTTCATTATTCTACGTATAAAAGTATGAAACTAAAGTCATCGAAACATGAATACTTTACGAGATATTTCACATTTTATATTAAAAATATTATGACAAAATTTAAAATAGCTCAAGAAATTCTTAACAAAAAATAGTTTCATTATAGTTTCAAAACGTTTCAAAACGTCTCGACGAGATCTACAACTTTTATCTGGAGGAAAAAATCAAGTTCCATTTAGGAAATTAGTCGTCTTTAAAATTTCTTTAAAACATCTACGACATGACTCACATCTGGATCATGGGTCCTCCTCCAAACCGTGCAACTTCTGTCTAAAACGTTTTTCAATAAAATCATCGGTTCGAGATATAATACTGTAAACTTTACAATTATACAGAACACCCTGTATATATTTCTACATAACTTTCACGAAAATGATCAAAAACTTATCACAGCTATGCCGAGATGTGATGCTTTATCAACATCAAAATCCGAACTAAATTATATCTGAAGTTTGACAACAATTAATATCGCATTAAAAGTATTTACCTCGACAAATATGAGAAATCCGAAAATGAAAGAAAAGAAAATGTAAAAAACAAATAAATAGAAAAAACAGAAAAAAGAAAAATTTTACTTTATCAATTAAAGATACATTTACATTATCAACTTTGTTCATGTGACGAACTATGTCTATAAGATAACTCATCCGTTTTATCTTATAGAAAGTAGTCTTTCTTATCTTATCATGCAAATATTGGAAATATTATTTCTTATGTCTTGTTTCTTTTACGTGCTACGTTATATATTTTGACATCTAGCTACAACAAAATGTACCTGTTGTTCCTGTAACTTTCTCTCTTCGTCTTGATCTTTCATCAGCTGTTGCAGGAGCTCATTTTTCTTCTTCATCCCGGCACGTGCCTCTTCGTCCTCGTCGTCATTTTTCTCGTTTAATAACTTAAAACACAAAAAAGAAAAAAGAGTAGTTATGGGAATTAAAGATTCATCGAATATAATTCGTAGAGAAGAATGCAACAGTTTGTAAAATTTATTAAAAGTAATAAATTTGGTAAAAATTTCTTATTTCTCTCAATCGAATAATAAAATAAGTAGAAAACAAATGGCACTTAGTAACTTCGTATTAAATATACAGCTGTCCTACTTAAGGGAGATAGTACAATTATAAAATTATAAAATTATAGAGTAAAATTACCTCTTTATATTTCTTTTTCTCATCGTTAAATCAACATATTTGAATTATTTTCTTTATCTCATAATAATTACATTTTAACAAATTTTTCTAAATAAGTTTTCCCTGAATTTTAATTTTAGTTAAAAAAAAAAATCAGTTTTTTATTGTTTGTAACTTTTGATAAAATTATAATTTGTAAAATTAAACGATCGAATCGTATAATCCATAATCTAAACATTTTAAATAAAATTTTTATTCATGTTTAAACATTCTCTTTTAACTATTCAGATCGCGAGAGAACCATATCTTCAAGATTTTTTTTTAAACATTTAGGCATATCTAAAAATCATTTTATGTAACTCAAAAAACAGAGAATTATTTACTTCTTTTAATTTTAAAAAATTCATACTTATTACTCAGTTTCACCCTTCTTGCAGCTTCCCTTTTAAGATATTAACATTTCCGATGATCAGTTACAAACGTTTGACTTACCTGCAATAACATGTTGTTTCCGAGCGACGATTTGGAGTGCTCCATGCTCGGCCTTGGCATGTTGCTCGGGCTCGTACGCACTTTATGCTCCGAATGATAATCGTCTTCGTCCTGCTGGTTCAACAGAATCTTCAATATCCGATGCTTATGATTATTATCCGAATCGTTGTTCGAATTGTCCTGGCTATCCTCACTAGTGCTCGGGCCCTTCGTCAGTAAGTTTCTGAGCCTACCGGACTCGGTGGACACTACACTGTTGTTCTGAGTCTCGATGGAGGTGACGGCAGTGTTGCTGGTTCTCGTAGTCGCACTGTCCATGGCACTACCGCCACCACTGTTGCTAGTAGGACATCCGCTCTTGTTGCTCTCCTCCGTCCGTTTAACAGTCGTCGTGGCGGTGTTACTGCCGACGCCACCGACGCCGCTGCTGATACCGCTACCACCGGCGGCGCCGCCGCTGCCGTTTGTGTTGACGCTACTGGCAGCATTGCTCAACGTGGCCGTCTGCGTGGTCTCCTGAAGGGGGCTGAAGGGGAACGAATTACTGAAGGTGGGAGGGATCGTACTTGGGCTAAGACTGCCCATAGGTATTAACGTCGAATTAGAGAAGGTTCCCTGCGGGCTCGGTGATGTCGGGGATGGCTGGGAAGGTGGTCGTGAGTTTGGTGGCCCGCTCGCTCTCGACTCCGGCCTATCCGTCCACCCGGCGCTACTATCCAAGTCCCACGTGGAACTGGGGAAGAGCTCATGGAATTCCATGTTCCCGAGGTCCATGTTTCCCGGAAAGTGGTTGAACGAATTGCCGACCGACGTGCTCAGCGACGTTAAGGGGTTGCACGAGTCACTGTTACCGCCACCGCCGCCGCCACCACCACCACCGCCGCCGCCGGCAGCCGCCCCCGTGCTAAAGGCGATCGAGTTCGACGAGGTGGCGGCCGTTGTCGCCATACCGCGAGCACTGATACCACTCACTTGACCGTTCAAATGCGCGACGGACATCAGCGGGCCACCCACGTTATTGTTATTGTTACCGTTATTATTATTACTATTATTCGCACAACGGTTGCTAGAGTGTCCTGAGCACAATTTGTTGTTGGAAAGCTGACCACCCTCGAGAGGCATTAAGTCATTGTCCCTATTATGGACAAGAAAAATAAAATAACACATAAATTTGCCGGTTAACTGCATCTCTTTAGCCTAAGACTAAGCATAATTTATAAAAATCGCACAATATTTCACATCAGCTTTATCACATCTCTCTTATTGGCATCGAAAGTGACTTACTTATGTGTTATATTTCTGTATCTCTAAAGAGCAGAAATCTAAATCTCAGTTTGAAAAATGTTCTATATGTAAGAGGAGAGTAGTGCAAGAATACGTTTCGCATTTGTATATTTCCGAAGCTGGTAGACTGGTGGAGGGTAAAATATTCTACGTGTTAATACCGGCATCCCCGTTCTTAGGATCTGTGACGTTTGACTTTCTTAATATTATGGAAGAGAATGACAAACAGGCGTGTGCAGGAAGATGTCTTTCACATTCTGGACGAAGGAAGACGTCTTTCATACTCTGACGCCCATCACTGAATCGCTGGTACCATCGCCGCATCATTTGCTCTGACATTACGTCCAGACAATCCTCCACGAGTCACTTACGGATTACTGTGCTACTCGTGTCCATTCGTAGCGGACAACTACCTGAACTTCATCCTTTGTTCACGTGCCTCACCACACTGAGGGCGGGCGCGCTCAAGGCCAAATGTCACGTATCGAAAGAATGATACCAGCACACGATATATTTTACCCCGTAAGTCTACCAACTTCGGAAATATACATACACGGAATTTATTTTTGGACTACCCCTCGTATTACAATCAGTTCTGTCTAAAAGACTCACAAAATAATAAAACTGTCATGCAATTGCTATAAAATCAATTTCATTTATCTCATTTATTTAAGAAATGATTGCTTCAAATCCAATATATCTGCAATATCCTTATATCATAATTTGACTCGGTCGACGAGAGGAAAGAGAGAAACTCGGTGCAATTTAATCTCTCTACATCAGAGGAAAACAATTTTAGTTTTGATTATACAAAATCTCTTCCTGCCACATTTAATCAGTTTACCTATAGGAACAATATTTCAAAATCATTTATGACCAAGACAGAAAGTAATTAAGCTGTTGCAAAACATCTAAATAACATAAATGTTAAACTAAGATTATTTACCACGAGCAGATGCCGTTGTATTTATTATATATACATTTTAAAGCGTAATTCAAATGTATAAGGAAATTTAACACATTGTAGAAATTGGATAATATCATACATTTTTTATTGGTAATTGCGTTTGAGTTATATTAATACTTTATTCGTGCATAAATATAAGTATTAGAGTAAGTGCGATTTACCGTGTCTTATCAAGATTACTTTCCGTTAAATGTTTAAACGCGAGATTATATATAAGTAAAACAATTCTATTGAATTATGAACATTCCATTGAATTAATATAAACATTTTCGAGTCTTCAAACGTAAAATATTATGTAATTTACATTTATATATATATATATATATATAAAGACTCAAAAATGTTCATATTAATTCAATTTAATTTAATTTGAGTACTTTAGTTTAAGTATTTTATCATAAGTATTTTACCAAATTGTTTAAATGCGTACAATTTATCAGGGCCTTAAGTATACAAAATGCATATAAAAATATTAATTTAATTAATTTTCTTCATAATAACTTTTTAAAAACTATAAGTACGACTGTGCTGAAAATAATTAATAATTGAAAGCAAAATCAAATTTAACTTAAGAAAAAAACTTAATAAAACATTATATAAACTTTTATATTTTAATTTATATACGTTCTAATATGCGTAAATTTTACAGAAAGCTTTTATTTTTCTTCGTGTTGCGCGAGCCCTTCAATGAAATGTTCAAGACAGAAATTAACGGAAAGATCTCGTGTAACCGTGATGAATTTCTTGAAGCATGAGTACAGTAACAAGCAAATGTTGTGCGCTTAAACCCTCACCATATCCATACAAACATCGTTAACTGTCGTCAAAAGTAAATTGCATAAATAAATCACGTGTAATATTACATTGTTAGACTTGAGCAAAGTTAATATGTGGCGGACGTCGTCGCCGTCGTTGACATTAAAAGCAAACTGAAATATATATACAACTAGGTTACGGTGAAAGACAATAGTTCAAGAGTGGCCAGATCTCCAACACCAATAAGAAACCGTATTAATTTATATGCAAATGTTGTGCCCTTTGCAAACTCATTGCAAACTAAGTATATACCATAATATTGTGAAACATAAAATAACTCCCTGATTTAATGGTGTGAAATTAATAAATGGGTGCAAATAAACGGAAGAGCATGTGAGCTGTATTTGAGCAAGTATACCATCTCATTTTCCTAAAGCATAAAATTTAGATGATACCTAAGATATTAGGAGCCGAGATAACTGAACAAATTATGTTTTTTATATTTAATTATTATGCAAAAAGATACTTAAACAATTTTGTTGTAAGAATATAATTTCTTTACAAACAAAATACTAAAAAAAAAGTTCTAAATAAAATTTAAAAATCAGAATTTAATTACAATGAGAATGGAATATATGATTCTATCCATTATAAAAAAACTATTACAATTTTTTTAGAAAAAATTTTTATCTCGTTTCATAAATATTTTGTACATGAAACTGCATATCAAGATTTTATCACTATTATGCTGGAATAAGCGTTAGTGCTAATACGATAAGAAAATAAGTACTTATGCAAGTATGTTATGTTAAAAGAAAAGTTATTCAAGCGATAGTAAACTAGTTGACATAAACACAAAAATCCAATAAAATTCAAGTGTAATTTAAAAATTGTGAATGAATTGAAATATTAAATCGATATAGTCATTATTGTCTTAGATAAGCTTATCTTAGATAAGAAATTATGTATGCGTGTGTATGTGTGTAAGTTTATTTTAAATTCTTAATATCAGAAGAAATATTCTTATGGTATTCCAATTCACGAATTATTTTCCTTGTCTAAATATCATGATTCATTAAAATATCAAATATCATTTTTTATGAAATTTGATATGGTATAATGAGATTATCTCGACTTCTATGTATTTTTTAATATGATTATAAAAACTGAGAGCGAACTTACCTGATGATGGAATTAGTTGCCATCATGAAGTCGATTTCGTGCGCATTCATCAAACTCGCCTTGAAAAATTTAGACTTTGTTTGAACCTTAAGGAACTTATCAGGACTAATGCGCAATCGGTACACATCGCTCGTACTTTCTCCGGTTTGGAGCGTATCGCTCAAATGTTTCGTGAGCGTATTGAGATCAAGAGGGTGGCACAAATCCTTAAATATTGTGCCTACCAGGTCCTGCAATAAAAAGCATATCTGTAAATACCTCTCGAGAATCAGTTTTGAAGTACGGAAAGAAAAAAAGGCATATATGTAATCTTGAGTATTATAAAATAAAATAATACAATTTTGATAGTAAAACAATTAATTACACATATTTTGTCAGAAATATGACTTAAAATATACATTTTTCTCAATTTTATAAGTAAACTTTACACATGTAATACTTCTCTAATGTCAAATATTAAATAACTCAATGCCAATAATTCAGAAATACCTTCTTTTCTCAACGTACTATAACATATATTGTTACATACACTGGCGGATCCTAGGGGGGGGGGGGGTTTTTAAAATTAAACCCCCCCCCTTCCAAATAAAAAAAAATCAGTTTTGCTGGATCTGTTTTAAAAATCTAAAAAAAATACAAAAAATGTTTAGAAAAATAAAAATAGGATCAGATCCTATCGTTGATCCTGGAGTAAAAGTTAAACATAATACTAAGAAAAATGTCAAACTAATTAATTTTGCCGAAAAAACCCTCCATTATCAATATCAGGATCCGCTAGTGGTTACATATAATAGAAATGAATATTATCTTCCAGCAAATATGCAGCATAAGAATTTTAACTACGCAAAAAGACAAGGATGCTTTGTAAACCGTATCGTTAAATTATCATCATCAATCATATTTAATCTTCCGGTGGCTGAAATAAATAATAACAACAGGCAGACAAATGTGATCAATTTATTATTTCAGCAAAAGAGAAAGACATTATGCTTTTGTAAGATATTTACCGTAATTAGTAAACATAAATAGAGACAATTCAATCTTACGTTTCTTCTTTTGAAAAATGATTTATACTACAATCAAATGGTAAAGATTCACATCTTCAAGGTACAAAATTCTTCGTACTGCTTTGACCATTTTACATAATAGTACCCCAATTATTATCTAATTTGCGTATCGCGTATCGCGAGTGAGCGAACGTTACAGTAATCAAAATATGCAACATGGCTCTACCCTTACCTTGTTTAGGTACTTGGAGTAAGCCTCGGATAACCAACTGTTGTCGACCGCGATAATCTTCCAGGTGGTATCCAATCTGACGGTGAATTGCTCAATAGAAGTAGTAATGGGCTTCTCATTCGGCGGGATTCTACGCGCTACGCACATAACATAAGGACCAATGTCCGACGATTCGGATACATCACCGCTTTCGAGACGATCGGGCAGAAGAGCAGAACAGATTTGCATAGACTCGTACTTCGATACTCGCTGTTGCTTTTCTTCCACAGTCTCGTCTTTATCGTCGGGTGGCTTCACCAAGAAGCGACAATTGAAGGTGCGATTCCTGGTCTGAGGCTGTGGCTCGCTGGTCCAGCCTGGAATGTGCAAACTCGTGTTTTTAACGCGAAAAAATTAGTTACATTCTGATGGATTAATGTGGATTAAAGATCAATCTAATTTAAATCGTCTATTTAAGCCAAATATTTTTACCAAATAGTATATCAAATTTAAAAATTGCGTGAAAAAAAATTTCATAACTTTTCTGATTATGGAAATACTGAATTTTAAAGAATTCTAATACTACTTTCGTCAGTTTAAACAGATCTGGTACTATTCCAATTGTGTAATTATTCCAATTTTTGTCAAAAAAATTCAAAAAAAGCTAAATTTAATTAATAATATATTAAAAATTTAATTAATACAATATTAAAAATTTAATTAATAATGAGAGAGAATAAAAAGTATATAAAGTAGGAGACAAAATATATGTGTTTCCTTAAAATACAGAGTAAGCAATTATCGCGGAGGCTCGTGATTGAGTATTTCACTATCGCTCGTCGCAAAGCACTCTTAGTTCAACCGTCTCGCTCGTCTTTTTGTCCGTTTTCGTTCCCGGTTAACGTCCGACTCTCTCGTGTCTCGCGCTGTCGGTTAGGCTGTACCGCTCATTTAGAATCGACCTTTCGTCCACAAACAATAATAACGTCGAATATCGAAAACATGTAACGGTTGTATACCGGGTGATTCGGGTGATTAGACTATTTTTCGGTCCCTACAATAATATGTCTTGAATTTTTTCTAAGAAAAAAATAATGTCAAAGTTCGTAAAAGAATATGCACTCGAGGTGGCAAAGCACATCTGACGAAACATCTTACATCGCAATAGCAATTTTTATAATTATAATTGTGAGAAAAATAATTTTGAAGAATGTAGAAATGAAAGTTAATTGACTCAAATTATTGCAGGAATATGGATGTACACAAAAAATATAGGGAGCACGATGAAAGAATAACGCCCTATAATCTATCAAAAGAGGGTTTTATTTAATAAATTGAGCGGGTAAATTACTCGTGACCTATACTGATTGCGCCAATCTACAATCTACCCTCTGCGAGTACTGTCACCCCCTGTGGAAAAAAGAGAGCGCACGCGTGATGTATGTGTGTGCGTGATATCATTAAGTTACATACCTAAAGACGACAAGGGTAGCAAACTAGGCATGAAGGTGTTGTGATCTCCATGATGAATAATGTTGTAAATATCCTTTCCCAGTACATCGTCCTTCGTGTAGTTTATGTACTGCGTTATGTTTTCCGTAACGTACTCCACGCGGCCTTCCGTATTTACAACGAATAGAAAGCCGTCTAGCGCCTGCGAAGAAGAGATAACGACGTTGTATAACAATTCCGAAAGTGTCAAAGGACGCAATACAAGGCTTTAATTTCTGGTGCTTTTGCACCTGTGTTTGACGGGTGATTAATCATGAGTGTAACCTCACGTGTTAATTTAAATGGATAATACGAACCTCAAGTAAGATAGGGCCAACTTGATCGTTGGACAGTATGTTAGGATTCGACGAAGACACTTCTCCCTGTTGCACGGCATGACTATTGGAGGAGCCCTCTTGTTGCCTAAAGTGCCGAATCTGTAAGGAAAAAAATAATAACAATAATCCAACGCTTCTTCCATAAATGTATTCTATTCACTACGTTATTCAAATAATAATTACATTAAGTAACTATATACTGTTACGGCTGTTAAAATAATATAGCAAACAAAATTATTTTATAATATTTTTATTAAACAAATTTATCTTTTAATATTTATTTTATTATTTAATATTGAATTAAGCAAAATTATTTAATAATCAAATTAATAATGTTACAATGTAGGTATGTATTACAATTTGTAATGTAAATGTACAAAATGCATCAGGAGCTACACATTTGTCCGTGTTAATTCCTTCGAAATCAATTTGCGATATTTGCGGGACACTCCGTATATAAAACTTGTACAGCGCAAGATAATACGATATGTTATCACTTGATAATAATGTTGAAATTATAATCCGGGAAAATATGTAACATAAAGTAATGTCCGTAAATTTTTTGAATTCGTGTAAATCTTCCGAGACGCAGATATCGCTCAAATATCCATAATAATAATAATTATTGTAATAACGTGTTTATTACAATGATTGTAATAAACACATCGATATTCTTCTCTCTCGCCTAAATTTCACTTGCATCAATTTGTAAAATATGAAAAGGTCATAAATAAAAAGTATCCGAGAAATTCTTTCGTGATTGGCATGTAATTTATATTTTAATAGCATAGAAATATATTATAATCACGTAAATCCCAATTTCTGTAATTTTAATATCGAAGAGACTGCGAGGGGAGCTCTCACTTCACAAATGCGTCACACGTGCAGTCGACACGTGCGTCTCATATCAAAACACAGATCGCACTACCTGCGTTTCTGAGACAAAACGGAACGTACAAAAGTTATTCGAGAGCGAGCGACCGACTGGCGATCTGGCGAATTGTTGATTCGCAAAGGATATACAGCTGCATTTTTCCTTCGCGAGACGATCGCGCGAGAGATATCGGTGAAACAGGAGACGGTATATCGCGTCACAGATACGAGACGAATAATCCATTCGGTTAGGCAAGATTATTTATTGTCAGTATTGTCACGCACATTTGTTTTTGCGCGTAACATTTACGACGTTGCGAATTTGTCGCGCTGGTTGCGGCACGAAGATATGTGTACATTAGCGGTTTCACGACGAAATGATGCGCAAGCAGATGTGGATGGTAGGACACGCGACATCGATAGAGAAGTGAAACAAAGAAAACATCGAGTTACGCGTAGCGCGACGTGATAGCGATTGGCGATTAGAAGCAACGAAAAATGCGATTGTCAAAGAATAACATAGTTATTGTCATTATTGACAAGTGGGAATGCATGACTCAACGAGCAACGATATATTTTATAGTTTGCAGATTCAAAACCGATCAATTCAATATTACTTATCCTAAATTAAAAGATTCGGCCCTCCATACAACTCCTTGCAATTTTGAGAAAATTTTCCACTGCTCTATTTAAATTAGTAAATTTGAATTTTAACTTTATAATTAATTTGATTATTCTTATTTCATTATTTAATCTTGATTCCGATTTTTCTTGAATTTCGCTATCGTGAATAAAGCTAAGAAAAACTAAGTCTTAAGTTGGTTTTCAACTGAAACATAATATGAGCCAGAAAATATAAGACTTCAACACATCAAAACCAAAGTTTATTAAACAGAATAATAAAAAAAAATTATGAAAAACTGCAAGTCATTAGATATGGAAATGCGTATTTTAGAATGTAATTTGAATTCAAGAATTAAATTAAAACTTTCTTAAATCAAAATCAAAACTTACTGAACAATGTAACGAACGTTTTTTTTTAATACTGCGAGAAATTCTTAAATGTGAGCGCATTTATAAAATTCCGGCAAAAAATTGTATAGGTAGATATTTATAATTATATATAATTTTTTTCCCGGAATGTTACTTTTAGAACTTAACTCGTTATAAATAAATGGCAATGTAAGATTTTATTCCTGCGTTTTATTTATTACTTTAGACCTCATTATTCTTTCATAACAAATTCGAGAAAAAATCGTGGGATCTCACTACCGGATCTCATACATTTCAAATTGATCGAGAAATTTGGGACGCAACGAGAAATTCAGGACGCTTCTCTCCGATATAAATTTTAGACGAACGGAAACGTCACGATTTATAAATATTCGCGCAATCGCGCTGAAAAAGAATCCTTAGATCGTAATTCGGGTCATCCTTGTGTATTCCCGCTTTCGTCGAAGAGAAGAAACGCCGCCGCTTCTCGGTATGCGGGGCCGAAATTTACTTTACTGAGCGAAGGGCTGAGCGATTGTATGTACGAACCCAGGGGAACGATCGAAAGTGCGTGTGTGTACCGCTCAGTTTTTGTGCTGTATGCACAGTCCATTAGCCGCATCGCGCTCGCTCACGCGTCTGTTATTCGTCATTGCGTCATACCGCTAACGAAACAACGACACCGCTTCAGGGAAGGACTTAGGAAGTCGTCCGTGTCCGTGAAGAAAGTCGTTGCCCAAATGTAATGCGCGGCGAAAGCCATACGTAACTCGATGACTCGTCGGACGCGCCGAGCTTGAAAGATATAAAACGCTGTCACCCGGTATATCATACACGTGTACAGAGTAGCCGCTTTTGTTTCGATTTCGCGAAACGCATAAAGAATATTTATACAAGGTGTTTCCTAAATAAGCACACAAAATCGAAAGGGATATTCCGTAGCTTATCTTAGGAAGAAGAGGTTCTATAAACCTATAAAAATATGCCCTAAACTGCTTTGTTTTCAAAATACAGGGTGTCCAAGTTGTAAAAAAAAATACGAAAATTTTGAAAATCTGGAAAACATTTAAAAATATTTCATTCAAATTTGGTATGTGTAGGGTAGGTAGTCCAACAATAAACCATGTAAATTTCAGAAGCTTATATTTCTCTCAATTATTGAGTTGGAGATCTGTGTTTTTGCATACAGTTCATGAATTTAGTTGGCTACATATATTGTATAAAATGATTTATAAGTCATTTTTAAAGTTTAGCCACAATTTCGATTTTTTTTTTAACAATGTCAAATGGTTCATTGTGTACAGGGGTGTGTACACACACAATGAACCTAGCCATTTTTAACAACAAACCACATGTTTTATACAGTAAATTGTTAGTGTTATTTTAGTTTTACTATGTTTTAAAATGTTTATTTAGGAAAGA